AGTTATCCCCCTTAGATTATGACGTAATTGGTGCCAATTCAACTGGGTCCCTGTCTATTCTCAACGCAAAAGATATCAAGGACCAGTTTGCGGTAAAACAACATGGTCTACGACACACTCCGGCGCAGTGGTGACTCAGCATAACACAATTTCTGGCTGGCATCTGAGACGCTAGAATCACAAAACTGTACCTACACCACGTGAAGCGGCTCTAACAAAGCATGATGACGTCATAATGTTTATCAATTGGCACCAATGACGTCATATTGCAAGGGGCATAAGCCATGGTGTTTTTGTTATGGAAATAGAACACTTGGTAAATGTGAAAAATATAAATCGTTTTAATGCAAAAAATATGTTAATTAAATATGATGTTTTTATATTTTTGTCTATGACACTTCTATGTTAACACTTTTAATGTGGAAAAAGTACAAGAAAAATTGGTTCATTTCCGTGTGAACTTGCCCTTTAACCATCTCCACCTCAAATATTCAAATACTCATTATTCGAAAACTGGAATCCAAATCCGAAACGAAATAATTCCACAAGCTGTCATTATAAAGACCGATAATTATGGAAATGAATATGTGTTTATTAATTCAGTATGTATTTCTATGTCTGTAGATCCTGAGTAAGATGTGGCAGATATTTGCCTTTGGGGTGGAACAATTGCCGTTGCTTCAGAAGGTTGGCTCGAAAATACAAGTATCCGTACCTGACATTTATATGAATGTATATGCATTTCTAAAATAAACGGTTTCACAATGGTTGTAAATAAAAGCGACAAAACCCTTTCCATATTCATAAGAAATCTCTGCAAAAGGCAGAGTCGATTGTACGATTCTGACAATATCATAAGCATGTGAGTATGAATCATTATCAAATAGTAATGACACCAGGTGTTCGCGAAAAAGTGAGCTTATCTGCCCCACCGGTGGCACCCGTCACAAACACACGCAAGGGCAAGTCAATACGAGTATGTTTCATGATTGAGATGTGTATGAGTGCTTGTAACATATAACCATTGCACTCAATTGTGATGGAGAGTAAAGCAGTGAATGTATATCGTTCAGTGGATTTAGTTAAAGTTTTTATATGACTAAATATTTGTCACGAAATGCATCAAATATGTGGCTCAATTTGAGTAAGTGAGTGAATGGATAGACATGTGCTCACAACGTTACAGATTTCCGCCATATTTATTGGCAATGATACGGTCACGTGTCGACAGTAAAGCATATTGACTCAAAGTCAGGTTTAATAATTTACGCCAGTTGCTAAAAATAGAATGGGGATTTTCCGGAAGTTGTATTCCCAAGTTGTTCAGATGTTTCCGTTTTTTGGAACCTCTAAACGTTATTGTAGCTAATCTTTCGCTATGTAGAATCTGCTTTTGTCTCTTTATTACATCATAAAAAAACTATATAGGCTTTTAATATAAGGTCAATACTTGTTTTTATGGACCATAAAGTGCACGATGGACCTCGGACTATCAGTCAATATCGCATTTTTCGGGTACATTAAAACAGATGGGGGCCTCATGTGAAGTATATCACTGTATACTTTCACGACTAGTACGTAATTGAATACGAACCATCCCCGTGAAGATCCGGGGTAGAATAGGTCTTCATGCAGCAACACATGCTGGTCGTTAGAGGCGACTAACGGGATCGTGTGGTCAGGCTCGCTGACTTGGTGGATGCATGTCATCGTATCCCAATTCCGTAGTTCGATGCTCATGACATCAATCACTGGATTGTCCGGTTGTGGTTTCGATTATTTACAATCCGCCGTCATATAGCTGGAATATTGCTGAGTGCGGCGTTAAAAAACAAACACACAAAGTCTATGAACCAGACATTGTGGTCCTATGACATAATGACACAAACAGTCATTAACCATTCGATCCCGAAAGCAGGGGGGCACGGGTGGCCCAGTCGTCTAAGGCGCCGCGATTCGCTGTGCAGAGTTGCGTCCCTTGGGCACGCCCGAAACCTATGATTGTGGGTTCGAATCCCGGTTGGCCCCGATTATGTTTCTAGGTTTGTCAGCACCATACCCGTGCTCGTGGCTTTCACCGAAGTGGTAAACGTCTGAGACATGCATCACTTCGGGCTTTCCTCCCACATTAAGCTGACACGCCGCGATATAACTGGAATACTGTTAAAAGCGGCGTTAAACCCAACTCACTCACTCACTCACCCGAAAACAGATGACTCATACGAACACCAAGAGTCCTAGGAAACTGCCCCGGAATTCCCACGCTGTTGTAGAGCTTGGGTATACGGGACAAAGTCATGTAACACATACCACAGGAAATACGGTACACGTCTTCCCGATACCTCTGTCCCGACAGTCGGGAATACAGTCGACGAAAGGTGTAAGCAGAGCGGAGAATTAAATTACATGAAGTGAAATTATCTGGAAAACATGCTTCTGTCTCTCGTTCAAGACCAGACCTGGGCTCTTCGCGTGTCAAAACCCGCGCCAGAGAATGTTCCAGATATCATTCCACAATAGCCTAGTCAAGTCGTCATAACAAAAACCTCCCCAAGACAAGGCGTGTTTCTTTTATTATTCAAGCATTATTATTTTTTCCGGATTTTTGCCATTTGTGAGGAGTCGAGTTGGCATATTTACCGCGTGCCTAACCAAACCCCCAACACTGTTTTGGAATTCTCGCTTCTGGAATGAAGGAAAAGCGTTAATTAAATCATTGATGTCGATCTGATTATGAAGGTTTTCGGAATTAGGACCAAGTCGTTTTATGTGCAGTTTGACTTAACAATGCCGTAATGTTGTTTACAAAAACGGGGAACATGTGTGAGGTGTATGTGTAATAGACCACGGAAAGTTCATAGGTTACGAACGGGTTATTAATATACCCGAAAGACTTGGGGACCGACCATGTAATATCCTGCGGCGGCAGGGTGAGAGGCAAGGAGTTTTCTTTTCGACATGCAAGTATTTTTAAAGGGATATAACCCATCAATTTTCTTCAGCAAAACAAATTATTGTTCAGACCATCCAATAATCGGTTTCCTATTTTCTTTGCTTCGGACAAATAATTGTTTTCCAGCAGATTACTTTTGCGAAAACATGCAGAGATGGCTTCTTGTTCATGTATGCTTGAATTTACTAGGGACTGGTTAATTGACTCTGGCAGTAGATAATTAAGGAAATTGAGCAAAGCACCTGAATAAGTATCTACTAAGCATCAGTAGATAATAGAGGTAATTCATCATAATAATCTCATCATTAATATTCCGCTTGGATAATAATGATAATCACTGTCATTTGTAATCGCTTTGTGAAACGCATGTGATGGTTTATAGGCAAGTGAACGAGTCATAATGCTTTCAGATCGTTTCAACAGCGGCCATATACCGATAATTGGTCTCTGGTCGCAAATAGGTATTGATATCTTTTGGTTGCATTTGAAATATATCAAATGGATCACCAACATGAAGTATATTTTCAAGACGCCATGAATTCCGGCGTTTATTATAAACATTTCGCTCCGATAATGCGAGGGATACAATTATAATGATAGCCCTGCGATACCGCGCCCGCTGTGGCCACGTGCACAGCACGTGGGAGCACTTGACAGGTTTTCGCTCGGCGTTTTTAAACAATATATCTTCATTTGGAATACAAACATTCCATTATCAACATGCAACATTGATTTTGGCACATAGTTGATACCCAGCATCAATATTTCGTTTATCCTTAGATTTTGCCGTTTCATCATCCGGTTCATCATTATTTTCCTTTTCGCGGACACCATCAGCAACCTGATCAGGAGGAGAAACTCTACATTACAGCTGCTCTCTGGGGATGTTTTTTTAAAAAGTATTTTCATTCTATTCATAATTTATTTTTTACGTTAAAATTGAAATTTATTGGTTGCTTCTCCAAACCGCCTACTGTTTCCATATCCAGTGATATGATAACCACTCCCCGGTCGATGTACATTTCAACTAATGGATATATCTCATATCGCGCATGGGGCCGGGCATGGCCCATCAGGTGACGTCGAGATGACATCACGTGTGCTTGACAGATAACACAATATTTAATTGCCGAAATACGACCGAGGGGGTAGTTCTCCGGTGGGCGATGATTACAGTGTATTAGACACCCTAGACATCGGGCACTGTCGATATACTGCACAGAGTAAGGCTGAATGTTGTTTTGAGATAAACAAGAGATAATTGATATATCATTTATGCTTGTAGACAAACAGGCTAAAGAATTAAAGGTTAAATTTAGAAAAGTGCAAATTGTTAAAATTCGCAAGCTTCAGCAATAAGTCGCCCACACTGTTGTACATTTACAAAGAAACCTCTTTAGTCTGGGCCCTCTTTACTCCGAACCTAAGTTTCCGGTACGTCCATTATATATCCAAAGGAACATTATTCTATTATAATAGCATTAATACGTTAATCCTGGAACCCTAGCTTCCGAGCGATCTTGTTTGGAACGTCCGTTATATATATAAAGGAACATTATGCTATATCCTCAAAACGTTACTCCGGATGATTTTAATTTGCACCGTGCAGTCCGGATTAACGAGGTTTGATTGCACAGTGAAACCTCGTTAAGTCGAACTTCATTGATCCGATGCATAGAGTTTGTGATCCCTGAAGAGTATCGATACTTTTATCTGATATCGGTGCTACGTTTGTCTCAAATGCGGATTATATTCGCTGGTTCATTTCACAGTGCACGCGACAAAGATGACATCAAGTCTCTACTTTTGAGCTGACGCCTTTGAAGTTGTAAACAGCTGTTCACATGTACATTTCATAGTGCACGTGACAAGACAGCACACAATTGCTTAAAAGGCGTTGCAGTTATTAATGTAACCAACTATTGTCATATACATTACATTTTACAGTAACAATTCGTTCATTCTTGATGCATCGTCACAAACGATGTAACCATTTTTTGTCGAATGACAGGTATCGCACTAAGTAATTGACATGTGTGTATTTCAGATGGCCCGGTGACCGCCAGTGACCCGCCCATCCAGTCAGGATGCACATGTCCGGTTTGTTCGCGTCCTCACTTGTCATGCTGCTGATTGCAGCAGTCGCCTACTTCGTCTCCCTGGCAACGACGTCATGGTCAACGTCGGGCAAGGAGCTGGCGTTCGGTATCTGGAACTTCTGCTTCTTTAGTTTGATGGAAGGGGAAAAACGCTTGAAATGTCTGCCGAATAAAGCTGGTAAGTGCGTATACAGTGATGTCTCGTCATGTTTGTTTGATATTTAACGCCGCACTCAGCAATATTCCAGCCATTTGACGGCGGTCTGTAAATAATCGAATCTGGTCGAGACAGTCCAGTGGTTGACATCATGAGCATCGATCTAAGTTATTGAGATACGGTGACATAAATCAACTAAGTCAGCGAGCCAGACAACACGATCCCGTTAGTCGCCTCTTGTTTGCTTGTTTGTTTTTTTGTTTAACGCCGCACCCAGCAATATTCCAGCTATATGACGGCGGTCTGTAAATAATCGAGTCTGGACCAGACACTCCAGTGATTGACATCATGAGCATCGATCCACGCAATTGGGGTCGATGACATGCATCAACCAAGTCAGCGAGCCTGACCACCCGACGCGGTTAGTCGCCGCTCACGACAAGCATAGTCGCCTTTTAGGGCAAGCATGGGTTCCTGAATACCTATTCTACCCCGGATCATCACCAGTCGCCTCTTACAGGGATCTTCAGTGATTTCTCGTTATGTCGAACTCTTTGAACACGACCGCAGCGGTTAAGACGATGGCACAGGATCGTTATTGTCACAATGCTATAATCACGTCACTCCACTACGGATGTCTCGAACAGTTCGATGGCCCCAGTGACTTTGATTCCCATCAGTAAAACAAACTAAAACAAAATATAGTGAAATGGCGTTGTACTTCAAGGGATGTTTCTTTTTGAGAATCGGGAGGGAATGAGTATGCCAGTCGACAAAGGCGCGCAATCCGCTGGTCGTGTGTTCGAATCCCAGTTTAGCTCTAGTAGTGTTCCTTTTTTGGTTTCGCACCATCTTCGTGCTCTCGTTGGTTTCACTAAAGTTTACACTATCTACAACCCGCTTCTCAATATACATGTAGCTGCAATACTGTTCATAGCGTTCAAACCCCAAATCACTCACTCTCAGCAATCAGAACCTACAACAGTACCGTACAGACGATACAGAAGGCAGACAATATAATAAGTCAATGCCAGAGAGTTATCAGTCTCAAATATCTGCCGAAACAGGCACCATTGGACTAAAAGAGGAAACAGTTGTGAAAATTGTATAATAGGATCACTAAAAGTCAGTTATGACGCCAGGTGTTCGCGAAAATTGTACGCATGTCTTGCTTAAGGGCGAATATAATTTATAATTCATCGTTACTCCTCAAAGAAACACCCTTATAACACTTGTATGTTGTGTGCTGGTGTGACATAACAAATTGTCCTCGGTCAATATTTAACAGTTGAGTACGCCTTCCCTTACCCTGCACTCAAAACAAACTTTAGAAACGATAATGGAATTATCAAACACGCCATTTATCGGCAAAAAATGATATTTTGACTCTCAACGGCATTTGTCTGTAAGAAATAATCTCATCGTTTAATTTCACGGTCAATAATGTATCACAAACCGTATGATTGAAGATGACATTAAGATATGCGATTGTAGCAACCATATTTAACCCTCAACCAGTCACTATATATACAACGTAGGGGACAAGTAGCGTTCAGTGATATATAAGTAGGAGAACTTAGGGTTAATGACCCAGAAGTGTTCTTTAGGGCTACAAAGTTTGTCGTCACTTGAAAACCAATTCCGTAAACAATTTGGATGAAAAACTTAGCATTTACTTTATTTGAACCCCATTAATTTTCCGGAGGGAAAATAAAACCTACTTCGTGAAGGAACTGTTTCTCAAGGAGTGCATATCAGTAACTGTATATTAAGTGCTTTATCGGCCATTTATTGCTTTTCCTTAGGCTAAACATTCATTGATAGTTTAAAAGTCTGACAAGACGCCTACTTGACTGCATATTTATGACTTTTCAATTTCTCGTATGTGCATAAACCTGGTTGCCCCTTCCTAACATTGTGTCAATTTCGTTTATTTTATGGTGTTTCCATTGCCAATTCCCCGAAGTGGTACATCACCGCGAGATCTCATCAGTCCGTGTCACGCTTGTGGCAACAGAAGATACGGTTGGGCGAAATGGCGACATCAGAACTCAATTAAAGATGGCGGCATGTGTAACGACGCAGAGGGGCGAACGCAATAATGATTAATAACGGGGGTTAATAGAAAGGCCAATTACTTTAACAGCTAAGGTACAACGTTTGCACAGATAACACTTGTCGGCGAAAACGCGAATTGTGAGGTCCGAATCCATTCAGACGAGAAATCTAATATGACCGTATGGTTTGCAGGTTTCTTTAAACGCATTTTTTCTGTAATGAAAAAAAGGAACGTTTTAAGATAAATGTGTTAATTTTGCAAGCGCAGCTGTTTTGGTAATTAGTGTTGTTAGCACGACCCCGCTTACTGTGCTGAGAACATGTATAGTTCCATTTGGTTCAGTTAAGGAACTGTTGTTCTCGAATTGGTTAAAGGATAAAAATATGTTTTTAATTAACTGTATTTCCCTTTGAACTAGCATTGTATTTCAAACGTTTTATCATGTCTTTTTAAAGAAACAATGGTCGTCAATGTCATGTAAGCTTAATTCCATTAATACTTATATCACTTGTATAATTATATTATTATAAATATTAAGGTGAGGTGAGGTGAAATGCGGTTTAGCGTCGCATGACTTTGACTGCTTGTACTAGTCCGGACTGATGACGATTTAAAGTGTTAGCCCACTGAGATACCATGCGGCAGTTTAACATGAATACCCAACTCAGACGCAGTATACTGACTCCGAGCTGACCAGTCCTTGTTTTAGCCCCTTAATGCCGAGCGCCAGTCAGGGTAACAACAAGTACGATATTTTAATGTCTTTTGGTATGACGCGGCCGGGTGATCGGACCTTCCGCTCTCCGGGCGGTCTAGACCACGGAGGCGGTCTACCTTTATTAAGACTACTGCTACTACTACTACTACTACTACTACTACTACTACTACTATTACTACTACTACTACTACTTTGTTTTGTAGTAGTAGGGGGTTGAATGGCACATCAGGCTCACTGACTTGCTTGATCATCATCATCATCATTTTCATTATTATTATTGTTGTTGCTGTTGTTGTTGTTGTTATTTTTGTTATTATTTTCAGACTTTAGTATGGCGGCTCAGGCCTTCTCTATTTTGGCTGTGATGTGTTACGCCGTCGCATTCCTCCTCTACCTCGCATACATCCTCTTTCCGTCGTTGTCGAAGTCCCGGCCAATCACGATGGGGCTCTGCTTGCTCTCCTTCTGCGTTGGTAGGTGCAGTATATTCCAAAATAAGCTTATTACAAATAAAAGTGAAAGTTGAAACAGCATTGACTGACGTTTAATCAAGATGCAGAAACGTTAAGATATATTTAGTCATCTGGTTTATCGTATTTGAGGCTTTTTGGTATTTTTTCAAGGTCATACTTAAACGTTGTATTGTGGCGATGACGGGTTTAGACAGTCACACATATCGATATAAACATCTATTTGGTTTATTTTCAACAATTAATAGGGGCGGTCGGGTAGCCTAGTGATTAAAGCGTTCGCTCGTCACGCCGAAGACCCGGGTTCGAATCCCGGGTACAATGTGTGAAGCCCATTATATTGCTGGAATATTGCTAAAAGCGGCGTAAAACCAAACACACTCACTCACTCAACAATTAATATAAGGTTAGAGAAATAGGTTATACTGATGTCAAGGTGAAGGGCGCAACGCGATAGATATAAAACACAATATCATGGATGGCTTGAGGTTAGTTTCATAAAACAACCTCTTGAAATAGAAACAAAAATCCATTTTAACTTTTTTCCTACTTTTGCAGAATTTATTACACCAACTCAACATAAAAATACATTCGTCTTGCTTAAGATGAATGATAGCAAGTTTGAAGGAACCGCTTTGCAACTGCCAGCACGTGTGAATGATAGCTTCACACCTGCACTATCCTGGGCCCACTTGCACAAAGCGATCTTAGCGCTACAACTACCGTAAACCTATGTTAAAGCATGGGAGTTACGATCATCTTAGCGCTAAAGATCGCTTTGTGCAAGTGGGCCCTGGTATGGAACGTATTTACTGTTATAATTAGATCAATTAATGTTATTAAGGGAAAATGAATAACAGCATATATAGTTGACAACAGCTGATATGAAATGAACACGCAACACACATCCCTTGTTATAAAAACATGTTTCTACATGTGAAATGTACATCTGAAATAGACATGTAGTGCTGACGAAGTTGTATGTCACGCCCGTACATTGTTTGAGGGATTACAATCAGTGAGCAAATGCATTAATGCTCTGTTAATGGTATCTGCAGCGAACAAAAGTAAGAGACATTACATGAATGACGTCATGAATGACGTCATATGTAAACTGTTATACCGATGTGTCTTCATCTGTGTGTTTCAAACACACGCATCTCATCAACGTCACCAATTACTTGGGAAAGGGATACAAACATTTTACTATCTACTCCCTTCGTAAACATTACGCTGGTTGTAACTCCCAAGTAATAAGAAAATACTTCAAATTATCATGTCTCATAAGAATTCATTTAACGATGTTGCACGTGCAAATGCGGTGATAAACGAGCTCCCTGTAGCGCGGAATGGTAACGATTTCTTCTAACCGCCGGACCAATGCCAGCCATGTCACTGCCTCTGTTTAGGCGATCAGTTAACATTCGCTCCTATCAAAAGAATATCTTCAGAAAAGGGGACGTGAATTTCCCAAACCTCTTGAACTTCATACAACAGCAAAGATGATACAAATTAACACAGCAGCTCCGCACACGCCGCGCGAAAAGTGATCCACGATGCGCCAAGGGGAGAAATTACACACACGGGTCGGGGGCCAGACGCGGAGTCTGCAACTCTCAAGCCATTTGCGATTTTTAACGAGCGCGTTTTTCACCTGATGGTTTTCATTACGGAATGTTTGTTTACTTGAATTCGGAAACCGCTTTGCCAATCAAGTGCTTACAAATTAGTATCCTTTCTGGAAATATATTTTCCACCGATAACGTATTTTCTCCCTTTGAACCTTACCCCTAGAGTATTCCTGTCCTTGTGGCTGAAGACATACAGTCTAGATAAACAATTCGTTGGGTAGCTCGAACGCCATATAGTATCAACACCGTAGAGGTACTGATATGATGAAACTGTATGATATAACACTTTAAATATATCTGTGACGTCGTGTGACGATCCATTGTTATTAACAAATGGACAGTTTGTTGTCAATTATTCATTCCAACATTATCTTAATTTATCCACACTTGACTGAGCTTTTTGTTGTTCTGAAACTTTGGACTAGGTACATGCATAACCCATTGTCAAATTTTATGTTTTCATGCAAATGAAAATAATGGAAAGAAAATGTATCATACCTGTTCACATATTTGACAACGTGCCCTTTTTTCTATCTTACAAGTTTTGGACTTTTAACATGCTCAAACACACAAGGATGAGAGTGAGTTTAAAAAGCAGCTGTTTCGAATTGTGTCGAGAAAATCTAAGAATAAGCAAGTCTTTGACCCAAGTATCTTGTACTGTCGGTTTGTACTGATTTTATCAACATCTTGTAACAAAACCAGCTTTAGTCAAAGATTTGCTCATATTCCACTTTTTCTGAAAACCTAAACCAGGCGCTTTGACACACTTTATAATTCAGGTGTAAATATCATTTTATTAATTATGTAGTATTTTGTTAACAAAAATTTAATTATTAAGGGAGCCTGTGATGTCAATGGTTTCTTATACATGTATTCTCATTTGATAAATATCTGACAATACAACTGGGTCGAAGATTGGTCGAAGGAGTCAGATTTTCGATTACATCTATAAAAAGGGGGACTGCCCAGTCGGGCAAATTGGCACTCTTAGCACAGTTGATTCAAGTCGTTCATACACCACAAGATGACTATGCTTGTCTTAAGAGGCGACTAACGGGATCGAGTGGTGCCGCTATTAGCTTACATAGTTACGTCCCTCATGCGTGCCAGAAACCTATGAGACCCGTGAAGATCAGGGGTAGAATAGGTCTTCAGAAACCCATGCTTGCCGTAAAAGGCGACTATGCTTGTCGTAAAAGGCGACGAACGGATCGGGTGGTCAGGCTCGCTGACTTGGTTGATGCATGTCATCGTATTCCAGTTGCGTGGATCGATGCTCATGATGTCAATCACTGGATTGTCTGGTCCAGACTCGATTATTTACAGACCGCCATCACATAGCTGGCATATTGCTGAGTGCGTCGTTAAACAACAAACGAACAAACAAATCATACACCACAGAACTTATATTCAGCAAATCATGCTAACGGAATCGGATGGCCATGTGACTTGGTTGAGGCATGTCATCGTATCCCATTTGCCTATATCGATGCTCATATGTGGGGGGCAGGATGGTGGCTGGCTAGGATTTTGTATGGAGATTAGATATTTTCAGCAACAAAACCAGATATTTGTTTAGCCTGATTTCTTTTTAGGAAAAACACATTGCAATAATGTACTTTTCGTGGCAGTAAATTTCTTTCTTTTTTCAACAATCTAAGGCATAATTATATATTTCAAGAATTTTCGGGGACAATCTGTGTTTGTCGATAAAATCCATGACAGATCAATAGTGGTCAATAGTGTGAACATCCGTCCAGGGTCAACGGTCAGGCTCGCTGACTTGGTTGATGCAGGTCATCGATCCCAATTGCGTGGATCGATGCTCATGATATCAATCACTTGATTGTCTGGTCGAGGTTTGATTATTTACAGACCGCCGTCATATAGTTCGAATATTGCTGAGTGCGGCGTAAAACAACAAACCAACCAACCAACCACGGTAATGGCTAAGAGATGGCCTTCCGTGATTGTTGCCATCCATTAACTGTCGATACATATCAGTCATTGTGGCAATCCAGTCTCTGTTTCTACCGTATGTTCCCACCACAAAGACCTATCACATTTGAGTGAGTGAGTATGGTTTTACGCCGCTTTTAGCAATATTCCAGCAATATCACGGCGGGGATCACCAGAAATGGGCTTCACACATTGTACCCATGTCGGGAATCGAACCCGGGTCTTCGGCGTGACGAGCGAACGCTTTAACTACTAGGCTACCCGACCGCCCTATCACATTTGAATTGCCCAGTGAATAAAGAACTCTTACATGCAAGCAATACTCATGTTTGTTCCTGCGAGTCAGTCCACAACAGTATATGTGACTGAAACAAATGTTATTATGATTTTTGAATTTCTATGGTCATGTTTTCGTCTCTTGCAGTGTGCCTTCAGATTATGACAATGATCGTCTACGGGGTCAAGGTCGGAGAGTACTTCCGGAAGGTGGAGCTCCGCCATTTTAACCACCATCTTGATTCACTGTCCATTTCGTGGTCATTTGCCTTCGCCATAGTGTCCACTCTTGTTGGCACGGCAGCGGGAGTGTGCACGTTTATAGAGCTGAGGAACATCACAATCGAGGACCTACTTTAAAACAGTACATCTCAGTTTAAAAAAACCCATTTGTTTCACATCACAAAATAATCCGGGGAGACGGAAAATTAGACGAACAAACATTACGTCTCTTGTCAGCGTTCATAAAGATTTCGACTTGGATTTGAAATGTGGCAACAAGGGACGCTTAACATTGAAAGACAAACATCAAATGAGGATATTAAAATGATTGGAAACACCATGAATCCCTTCATACCTCGTTAGTCCTTAGAAACATCACCGTGAATAATGACCAGATGACGTAACTCGTTACCATGACGATGCCATCCCGACCCTTTACATGTTCAAAACATTATATATCTAATACATAGCTGTCCGTGATGATTTCATAGAGGATGTGGCAAGTCGTGTTGAAGAATGGTGGGAAGGAGGAAGTGCTAACTCCACTTTCCGGACCACCAAAAGCATTCGCAAACTTCGGAGCACAGAATCCTAAACATAATTCCCATTGAGCTGGAAACGTTTCGGACAATTTGTTACACGGGTTGCCATGTACTTCCGTTCACTCCAAGTGGAAACTAAGCTATTTCTGAGAGCCCTTTGCATCATCAGAGAAGCCTTTGATTGCAAGCTGCCAAACAAATGGCGCGTAACAACAACGTTAAAATGAGTTGACCAACCCGAATGTGTTCCAAGATCCCGATAATGACAGGTTTTCAAAGGAAGTGTCCCACATATTCACAACATGTTATGAATACGATATGCCAGTTTCAAGGATGGATGCCATCTTCTTGTGTTGGGAAGGGCCGTGCGTGTTTAAACATTACTCATCCTTGCTCGTTCCATGATGAATCGTAGTTCTAGCGACGCCATAACGCTTATATGCTGAAACGTACAGGCATCATCTGGCATAGCAGTTCGTCTCGAGCAATACCGTTTGAGACTAGATAGATAGCGATTGCCTAACATTGTACACATGCTATATTCACACTGACTGACATCCTCGATTGTCGAGGGTATTAATTATATTTCCATTGTATTCTGATACATACACTGGGTCCATTCGCTACCATAGCTTCGGTTTGAGCCCATTTCGAAATATCACGACAATGAATCAAACTACTACAAGCTATTATTAACATTTGAGTGAACTGAGTAAGCCGAGGTTATCATATTTCTGGCAGCCTGTGTTGACTAGAAAATCCGAATTAAAAGGCGACTATGCTTGTACTAAGAGGCGACTAACGGGATCGGGTGGTCAGGCTCGTTGACTTGGTTGATGCATGTCATCGATCCCATATTGCGTGGATCGATGCTCATGATATTAATCACTGGATTGTCTGGTCCAGACTCTATTATTTACAGACCGCCGTCATATAGCTGGAATATTGCTGAGAGCGGCGTTAAACAACAAACCAAAACAAAACCAACTGAGTTAAAAACCTGTGTTAATCAAGGATAACTTAGGGCAGTACCCGAAATAGAAGTCAACGCATAAGATGCAGTCTTAGATAGAATACAAAATGGCTGCCAGAAGAGTTTTTTTTAAATCGACCGCGAGCACTTCCCTGCGCGAGAGAAATTCTGTGTTAAGTCAGGATAGAAGCGGTGTAAGTGGTGACGAATCGATCCAGGGTAACTGTCATAATAAAATATGCTATAATACACTGGATAACCAAGGATGACTGACTTTGGGCTTCGGTACCACGTAGTCCAGAACGCGAGATGATTGTTACATGTTTTCACACATCAACAACCATGTGTCGGGACCATAGTTTACGCCGATGTGTCAATGCATAGCGTGCTTGCTATGCGGGCTATGGCTCTACTTATTCATGTATTTATTTCAACAGTGTTATGCACTTTAAACGAGTGATATAGATTAGTAAAATAAGTGCCTTTGATTTGTTTTCTGTGATTTTGTATAAAGTTTGTTTACTTTTGTTTCATTCACACAGCATTCAGCAATATTCCAGCTATATGGCGGCATCTTCCCGAGGCAAGGGAGTTAACTGACTGCAAAAGCCAAGTTACCACTAGAATTTGACAGTCAGTTACTCCCTTGCTTCGGAAAGATGTAATGACGGCGGCTTGTATGGACGGAGTCTTGACCAGACAGACCAGGAACGAGTACATTATGGAGACACGATACCGCCGTCGGGGTACGACCTGACGCAATCGACCAAGTCGCCGATCCTGACCCTGGGAACCAATTAAACCCCCGAATCACCACAGGGTCCGGAATAAGGTAATAGAGCTGAACAGGTCGAATGTGGCTTTCAGTTTTACAGTTTGAACCCATATATTTCCCGTGATGAATCCCCATGAGTGATGCCGTTATACGCCCAAATCAGCCATGGAACCGTTACCTAAACTGTGGCTTATATATTGTGCATAAACACGAGCCATCGGGGTAGAAAACATCTGGTCATATCACAGCTGAACGTGGTAATTTGGTAATATTGTGAATATGGCAACATTTTTCAGTCAAATATTTTCTTTGAAAGGATGAGCCAAACATTTTATCCACAACACATAATTTTTCACAACATCCAGCTCATTTAGATAACAATTTCTTTTGTGTGTTAAACCTGAAGACAACCTATCTTTTCCGTGCATATCCGGGATCAGAGTATCTTTTTTCAATCACGCCATTACGACAAAGACTGCTTATTATATAACAGTTGTTACATAATCTAGCTCAATACTGCACTTAGCACCTGACACTTATCATATAACCATACAATCTAGCTCAATACTGCACTTATAACCTAGCTCAATATTGCACTTATCGCCTAACACTTGTGATATTATCTAGCTCAGTCCGACACGTATCTCCTACCGTGTGTCTTATAATCTAGCCCAGTATTTTACGTATCCCCCAACGTGTTATATTATCTAGCTCAATATTGCAATACACGATTAAACAAATCACACAGTTGCCCTGTAGATATTCCAGGCCAGACTTGGTGCCCAGTGCACCATGTTGTCCTTCAAGCAGACTGAAATGGAATGGGGTAGTCACCGGACTGCATTCGTACACCAACGGCCTGGATCGCTGGTAGAGAACCAGGTTTATCTGACCAAGGCTCCGGGATGTATAGACAGCCGCGACATAGCTGGGACGTTGCTGACGAAAGTAACACTCATCCTCTCGTTACATCGATACATGTCATCTCAATTCCACACGATGCACTAATTACAATGACTGAACAAAACATTTAGAAATGCAGTGAGAGAGCGAGTTTGATTTAACGCTGCTGCTTGGAATAGTACTTCATTAGTATCACTGCGTGTCTTACGCATTTGCCACTCTGTAAAACCCACGGGTGCGGTGTGGAAAAACCTAGAAACAATCGGGCGAATCTGAGATTCCTGTCAGGATTGTAGGGATCTGGAAAGCCTAACGGGAGCAACTCGGCCCAACCAGTGGCAGGTCAGATGAATAGGTTCTGCAATAGTTAAAATCCTCGCATTTCATATATTAGTCAGCATTAATTTGTAAATCATCAGAACTTATATCAACCATTCAGCTAACAGTAACATTTTCTCATTGATGTTTAATGGAAGTAAGTTGGAATAACACTAATTTGAACAGTATTCAAGATAAATCTGGGCATATCAGTGATGCAGGTATTAGATGTTGACCACTAGGGTGATATTCACGATGTGGTGCTGAGAAGCCAAATAACATTTGAATGAGCGAGTTTGTCTATAACCGTTTTGAACAGTATTTCAGTCATCATGGCCTGTCAGATTGATGCCGGAGGGAAATTACGCAGATCTCAGAGTGAGTGAGTGAGATATTGAGTCAGACGTAATGCTGTGTCATATCACAGTGTCAATTTCTTGAAACCCATAAAGCATAAGTAACAGTGCTGAGAGACCAAGCACCATAGTCATGGGGAACCTTGGAGGCGAACCAACACACACTTAGTACTGCTAAGCGACGCAATCACGTTTGGACCATCTCTCTCACATCATTGAACAAGCACTCTCAGAGCAATGTCAGCAATCAACACCATGCTCAACAACAGAACACTGTACAGTATTGTACGATTTTATTTATTAGACAACCAATGGATGGCAAAATGGCTTCCAACAATAACATGTTCAGGAGGAAACGTAACACAAACATACACTACTACCGAGCCCCTTCTGCTAAAGATGAATCATCTGCTTTTTAAACTTATATGACGTTAGTCATGTTGAAATCAAGGAACAGAAATGCCCTTTGTATGGCTTCCTAGTAATAGAGCTAGAGATGCAAGAGTTATTCCCCTTGTTAGGACCACAACATTTGGAAGTTATTCAAGTTGGCATGGCTTATCAGCCTAGGTGTATTCTGATATGAAAATTGTTCTTTTCACAAAAACATGAGTTAGGTTTTACTGCAAAGTAGATCAAGACTGAGATGGAAGATCAGCTAAGAATAAATATATTACAATTATGAACATGCACAATTATGGTTTTACGATTATGAGAAAATAATAGATGTCGAGTACAAAAGTAGACAGACATTGAATAGCACTATGAACTATGCAACATGACACACATTAACTGACATATGTACAGAGAAACATGTCATCACAAACAGTTGCTACTACTCTGGCAGTGGTACACATGCTTCTGACTTGAAGACACACATCTAAAATACATGCAAGCAGTCTTAAACTATCTTAATAAGAAAGTTATATCCACTCCTGGTGTAATGACCTTGACCCTCTATTGCAGCCAAACACATTATTTATTATAGTAAAAAAACATGGTTTCAGTACAAAAAGCTACAGAAGTTTCACAGACCTACAGCAAATCTTTCTTGAGTTAGGAGGTAAAAGGTGTTTTAGACTATGACCTTGACCAGACATGACATCGACAGAATTGGCAATAATGTGATATGCATGATGTGATATCCCTAAGATGCACCACATAGCTTTCAAAACAAAGTGCAGCTGTGTCGGTCGAATTCATGCAAAACATTAAAGCATCCCTATTTACAAAGGTGCTGAATAAATAACAATGGAACAATGTGCAATGTTGAAATCCTTACCAGAAACCCTAACCACAGAGATATGTAGTCTTCTCAACTACCACTCGTTCATTACTGTCATCAATCGACAGTGATGACTCATCAGCTGGTTAAGGTAACAAACAATAATCTTCACGTTAAATTCATGTTCTTAAATAGGTTGGGTTGTTGATTTTACACAATGCTTATAAATCATTTAAGATTTTGATTGACTTTCCACAGTACATCAAAACAATATATATACAGACAAATGAAACAAGTATGTACAAAATAACCATAAACAGACGATAACATTAACAGAAAATATATTAAAGAAAGAGCCTGATGACAGCTACAGTCAAGACATTTGTTCCTATAATCAACAATGAATAAGCACTATCCTCCATAGGTCATAGATAAATAAGGAAAGAAGGTTATCTTCAGTATACAGCTAACTTGTTCTAAGACACTGGCTTATTTGGTTTAACAATTTGGTTTGTAAGCCTGGCTAAAACAGTTCAGGAAATATACTACTCAATATTTGAGAGTGATACAAGGCTACCGTATTCAACGTAATAAGCACCCCGCTCTAATAAGCGCCCACGGCGATATTTGCTAATATATTGGCAAGTGAACAATCCCAATTAGCACCGCTTCCGACTGATCAATGTACACAAGACTTATTTATTCGTGTATTATACGCACTCATGTGTTATATGCACCCTTAATTATGGGCAATTAAATTCTGGAAAAATATATCTGTCGTATATAAACAGTCAGGCCGTTAACATAAACCACAAAATTTATCTTTCAACTCTGTTTTTTCCACCAAAATAATATTCGAATAAGAGCCCCCTATTTCTCACTTTGCGAGTGCCCTGGGCGCTTATTACGTCGAATACGGTATTTCATACTGTTACGTATCTAGGGGACAGCACCTGGTGTACTCAAATTGTGTACTTACTTTTATGAACTTTAAATCTTGAACATGCTCGAGTTGCATGGTAATATGGGAAACCATTTGTATGACACGTCTCCATACAACCAATCACACACATTCACGTCCAACACTCAGAATATCCTAGTCAGATGCATAGAAGTGTACGTTTGGTTGGTTATAAATTATTACGCTGATGTTTGTTTCTTAAACATATCCAGGATAACCCTTCGTATCACTTGGATGAACCATTGGGTCGGACTAGCGGTTAACGACAGTTGCTCAAAGTTGACAAATTAATTGTTAATTTCTGAACAAGGACTCAAGAGAGCAAAAACAGACATGATTATACAGAGCAATGTGTGGCTGTATCAAGGACCGTTGACACAGTCAGCTTAGACAAACACTTCTGTTTTCTTTCTAACTGTTGCCAAATTTGCATTAGGCAGATTGTGATCCAAGTAAGGAAATATTTGGTGCAAGATATTTTTGTTCAGCGAAGGGAGAGAGTCTAGTTTTATCAAAATGTCATCCTTATCATGGCCAGGGGACACCATGAGGTTGCACACATCACACCAAAGTGGAAAACTGATCCAGTCTTAGACAAGACTGGCAACTGCTTGAACCACTAGGCGACAACAGTTCACCCTTAACAAGGGAAGTTATGAATGTCAAGGTGGTGAAATGATCTTTTGTACAGATATCTGCTGAAAATGCGCAACCTACACCCCAACATAAACATTTTACCGATTGAAAAAAAAAACCACGTTCAAAAAGTACCCAAACCACCCCTACTTCAAACAAACCAATACCAACCTATAAGGTAAATAAGGTATTAACAACAGAGGTAAAACGGCAACAAAAAGATATAAACCATGTCAAGTTGCAGACCATGCTGAACCAGAAGCACCTATCCTTGTTCTGGGCTTGAGATTTGCTAGCGTGGCCCTGGTGCAGTGTATGTCTGCAGGTTTAAGCTGTGTGATGCTTCTGTAAGTACTGACTGAGTAGTGGGGATGGAGGAAGGAATGTGTTGTGCTTGTTTTCAACCTGTGTTCTTCTTTCACCATTTTCATCATAACCTGCAAATATACCAAGATTCAATGTTAGGGAAAATAAATAAATAATTTTTAAAAGCAAATTCTTCTCTTTATCATTTTATTGCATTTGAGAGACATTCCAAAAGAAGTTGGAATAGAAGATTTCTGTTTGTACTTACTTTGAGATCGCAAGTCAAGAAACTGACATAGAGCATGGATCAGCATTCTTTCGTAACTGGAGGCTAGCCTGGCCACAAACACAGAGCTTGGCCACTCTTTGAAAAATGAGACAATTTCTTCCTCCAGATTCTCAAGCATTCCCTGCACAAAAAAACAAGGACTATTTCATTATCATTTAGAGCATGTTTCAACCATCCCCTCTCAATATTTGCTAAAGAAAATGTGACCACATGAGTGACTAAGGCTTTATGCTGCTTTTTGCAATATTCTTGCAATCTCATGGCAGAGGACACTAGAAATGGGCTGCACACATTGTCCCCATGAATTAAATCAAATATATTGCCTAACATTTTTTATACCAACACAAACCCCTCCTCATTATTGTAAAAACCATACAATCCAAGAACTTTAGCATCAAGCCCCACCATACTACTCTCAATTCTTCATATAGCCATAATATCCGGCTCCAACACTCTTCATCTGGATAAATACAATAAATACATCATCTGGCTAAATACACACATCAGCAGAGATGCCAACTTATATCAATGATGTTAGGAAGAAAGCATGTTTACAGGTGGAAAATTTCTGTCATCCTTAAAATGTCCCAAAGTCATAAAAGCATGCTGAAATGTGACATTCAAAATGTGACATTCAACAAACAAAGCTGAAAATATATCTTTATAGTTAAAATCTTGGAATGGGACAGGCAACTCAATAATGGTGGTTAGAAGGAATACCATAGGCAGTTGTCTCCTCTTGAGTAAGTCCTTCAGCTTCCTGTCCACCTTCCTGTAACACTCCTCTGCTGTGAAGGCTGGGTGAGCTGAAAGGGAAAACACCATCACAGCTTGGATACACTGGGGGTGACTAGCGTGGGCAATTCTTGTAATCATTACATCCATCTTAGTCACAATCTCATCAAAATCAGATCTTAGTGCTTGCAACGGCTACCCTGGTGTCGCAGTAGCAGGCACTAAGACTGATCTTAAACATGTTAAAGAGACTGCTCTTACACACAGCATTGTCTGACAGTCAAAAGTCCCTCTTGTCACAGTTTGGAATACAAACAGTAAACAGCGATCACATTCTTGAGACTCATACAAGGGTTCAGCCCAGGGATCCGGAAGTACTTTTTTGCCAATCGGACATTTGCACTTGACCACGCCAACCTCATATCTGTTGGATGTTCATGCATGAATAAAAGAATAAACTCAAGTGCCATATATAACATATATACATGATTTACATACAATTTATTAACAATGCAATGACACAGATCTAATATATACAATTTCAACCTATCGTGATGTTGGTTTGACTAATTTGGTTATGGAACGGTTTCATCTAGCCTTCCAGCGTCTCATCGTCGGTGTTGGGTCGAAATCCGTCAATTTTGGTCTAGAAGCGATATATGCATAAGTCTGTCCAGTGTCTCCGTTGTTAGTCTACATCTCTGTCGCGTCTTAATGAGGTTTTGTTCAGAAAAAACCCTCTCACAGAACACGATCGATCTGTACTTCAGCCTATCAAGTTATCACTGACATGATGTGCTTTTCACACCTGTTCAAGACTCAGATTAATGTCAAAATGCTTATTCACACTGGTGCAATAGAAGTTATATTTCTGTTCAAATGAAATTAAATGCCATGACAGCAAACATATTTTGCTTCTATTAGCATGATGACAGTGATTAGACCATTAACTTTTTATTTTGATGAAATAGATACATAATAATTCTCAGTTAATTTCTTCACCTGTAAACACCACAAACACACCCCACACGTACTGATTTCTTTATATTTTAAAATTTTCAACACCACCAAAATAACACTCTATTTGAAAATCACATTTCTCAAAATTGAGCAGTTTTACATGTTGATGCAGATTACGTGCATATCAAATCTAGAGTTCTGTCCCTTGTCCTTGATGCACAGACTTTGTCAAAATTATCCCCCTTACTCTACTGAGAAAAGCTGACATTTCAAACATATATAGACTGGAAATCAAAGGTTCCTAGGTTGGGGCTGATGTCATAATGTTTTCTTCATCCAAACTATAACTTGGGCAAAACCGAATCTGTTATCCAACAAAAACATAAACAATGACTTACTTCAATTCATAACCAGTGATACTGCTTTATCTGCTACATTCACATCTTCAATGGAGTTCAATGACATTCAAATACTTTTCCACTTACAAACAGTTAATTCTTGTAAAGCAGAGATGCCGACCCTAACTGAAGCTTTGGAGTAATCAGTTGGGTAAAAAAGGAGTAATTTGATGTGAAAAAGAGTAATGGTAAGAGTGTCATGCCATGATGCTGGTTTTCACTTCAACATTTTCTTTAGGCCTATACGTACGTGAAGCATGGGTACACATGCAATGACGCCAGTAATGTAGCTGCACATTCAAGCAGCACAATTTTAAAAACAGAGCGACAAATATCAAAATAAGCAGAAAAATTGTTGGTGTACATGCAATTAGCTCCTTGTAGAATGCACCACGTGATTAGTGCATTAACAATTTGCTCTCCATAATATTTTATACATGTAAATAATTCATGTAAATAATTCATGAAAAAAATGCCAAAAAAAGGTAATTTAGGGAGGACAGGACTGCGCTTATGTTATTTTGATGTATAAAGACAGTTATTATATTGCCTAAGGTACCTTGTCCATAACCTTAGAAATGCATTGCTAAATCAAGACTACTAAATTGTGCTGTGGACAAGTAAAAATCACTGACAGTATATTCATGTTTCAATAATTGAGAGTGAGTGAGTATGGTTTTACACCGCTTTTAGCAATATTCCAGCAATATCACGGCGAGGGACACCAGAAATGGGCTTCACACATTGTAACCATGTCGGGAATCGAACTCGGGTCTTCGGCGTGACAAGCGAACGCTTTAACCATTAGGCTACCCGACTACCCCGTTGCAATAATGGACACCATACAACATTAAAACCATGAAATTAAGACACATGCACACAGAACATACTCCTTGAAGAGTCAAGCAGGAAATACCTGTACATGTGAGTGGCCTTGCACATACCTAGAAGAGTACTGTGCAGTGGTCATCCACCGTCAAGCCCAGTATTTGTGTCATCATGGACACACTAGGCAAGCAGGAGGATTTCACCCAGAGCCACAGTACAGAGACAGCAAACATGGGACACAAAACGCCTGTTTTTATCAAAAGATTTATACATTGTCACATATCCTTTTTCTGTAATACATTAAAAAATGTTGCCACAATGCAACAACCGATGTCTGGAAAGGTAATCAGAACAGCCTAAGTTAAAGATTCCTATATTTCCATAGTAAACATGACAAGTTTTGGTAATGCAACTTTTATTAAGAAAAACAAATTTCTCTAACTTATCATGTGCTTATTACAAAATGAAAAACTGTTTTAATTTGGAACTGAGCAAACAAGAAATGAAGGATTTCTACTGTTTAACACTTGTTCACTCGAAAGTTCAGAATTACAAACTAACTTCAGTGTGAGCATGGCACAATATTCAAAATTCCAGCAGAAAGTAGTTGCAAATACATTAACGAACAGAAAGTATCAGCAGTTAAGCTGAATTATTACCAGTCTGATTGTCAGCAGTTTACAAACAATGCAGCCAGTCTGTTTATCCATTCCACTTTATTAGATACAGAGAAAGGATATATGCTTATGTTGCTTCCTGAGACGTTCCAGGACACTTCATCCATTAGGATCACGGCTAATTTTAATTTGTTTTCACGTGTACCAATCAAGATACATGATACATTGAACTGTCTGCACCCAAGCTACTGTCTCTGGCCTACTGTGGTGGTACCACGTACCAGCCCTCTTATCTGGAATCTCCTCCCACGAGTCGTCCAGCTTCTCAACGGCCGATGCAGTTATCCCTGTCTGGCTCCCCACGGGATGCAGGATAGTCTCCTGTTCTTCCTCACTGCGGTTCACAAAGTCGTTCCAGATCTAAAGGGAAAATGATGCACTCTCAAATACACAGATGCCAACATTTATTAGAGTGAGTATAGTTTTACCCCGCTTTTAGCAATATTCCACCTATATCAGAGCAGGGGACACCAGAAATGAGCTTCACAACATTGTACCCATGTCGAGAATCGAACCCGGGTCTTCGGTGTGACGAGCAACACTTTAACCACTAGGCTACCTTCCATTTAATAGGAGAACTTAAATTAGTACCGGAAAAAGAAGTCTGGAAAGAGATAATCATAAACTTCCTCGAAATATTTGATAACATTTTAAAATATTGAAATATTGAATATTCAAACTTGGTAGTACTGCCAGTTGGATCAAGCAGTCATTCATTCATATATATATAACCTTCAAAATTTCTTTAGGTGGGGATTATTTTAATAATCATGATATCCTTGTAATGACCATAGCAACTGAACGTTGTACTAGTAACTGTATAAAAATAATCAGCAACATAGTTCCAGTATCATTATCAGTCCTTGCTGTATTCTGCGGTTACTAAATATTGTTCAGAACTGTCCAGTTGATGAAAAAATTTACATGGTTTTCAGAAAATAACCTTTTGTGCAAAACTCATGCAGAATTTTTGCATTTTACTGCCATGGAATCATTCAAAGACATTGCAGAAATTTACTATGCTAACTAAAAGCCAGACCTCAATATATAAAAGTTACATTGGCTTCCAGAAACGAACTATCAGCCAATTGTTTTTATTTTTGGTGTTAATAAAATATTTGGACATAAGTATTTCAAGTATTTTTTTAATGTAAGAATTTCGGTTTTGTTTCCAAGTGATTCCAATTTTGGCATTGTGATTACCAGAAGCACATCTTATAGTTTCATGCTGTTACTGTCAGTTCCTAAATCTTGAATAAATTTGTCCAAAAATGACTGAAATTAATAAACAAAACTAGCTTAAGAAATTGTCTGGCTGTGCGATCTAGCTGGGACAGCACAATACAGTGTTCCAGCAACATCTCCACAGTAGGCAACGACAACAGCACCATTCGTGGACAAGCCAAAGTTGTTGATACACACCTTCATCTTCTCTCTCTCCGAGAAGAGTTTTTCAAAGGCAGAGGTGCTGGGCTCAAACATGTTGTCTAGCTGCAGCTCCCCTAATTCATCCTTCTCGGCCAGAGTCAGCAACTGACGAACTGCAAGTCACAGAACATCACTGGTATGACCGATACATGATAAACCTTAGGATAAGACAGATCTAGGTCTAGGGGTAAATTGTCTTTACCTGCATAATTGGAGTAGACAATAATCTGTTTGGGAGATACATTTGATATCTGACGGTTCATTTCATTCAAAACTGTATGCCTTAGGGACCATCTAATCCAAAAAAAGAAAAAGAAAAAAAAATGCCCCAGAAAATGCTTGCAAAAATAACTGTGCAACACAACACAAGGTATTTAGGCTCATAGCTTTATTCTAGAACACATATCTGTTTTTGCAGATGTAGATTGAAAATAGCTAGTCTGTAGCCCCCAGGCCCTGCTCACCACAATATGAAATTGCCAATATCTCAATAACAGGTTTCCATTTCAAAATCTTAAATTTGATACCACAATAGGTGTATCTCTATTCTACAATGACAAACAGACAAGGTGAGCAAAAACTCTTTTGTAATACATGTGGCTTGAATGGTCAAATTCAGGTATCAATGACAATCTGTTATATTCACAATAGGTAGAGAAAGATGTGAAAAGGGACAAAAGATTAACCAAACATGCCAAGTAATGGGGGAGCAAGGAACCCTGAAGTGTTGGGTAAAACAGTATAGACTTTCCCTGCATCATACAACTACAGGTCAAAGATGGCCTTGGCTCTAGTTCAGTCCCACCGGATTTACTGATGGTGGTACTGCTGTTGATCAGACATTGTCAGAATAGACACCCAGAGATATAGATAAGTTTTTGGTTATTTGGGTATTTTACCCAGGCCTGAGGGGTTCAATTTTCATTGTGTATCCACAAATAATAGAGGGTATTAAATTATTTTACCCATCTGTTTCTTGACATTTGGGAATTTCACTCGAAACCTGTTTTGTAACAATCCCCGTAAATCATTTAGAACTACATGTATGTGAATAGAAGAAAACCTGTCTGCATCTGCTTGTGGCTTCCGCTCTGGGAAGCCATATTTGTTTACAAAACCTAGTATTGTAAGAAAGGCGCTGTTGTTTTAATTAACAATCAGCGACTTATTAAGATACAACATGTACATTGACTAGGCAACATGTGCTTCTCATTTGGCATCTATCAACATGCTGCATAAGCTTTTCCGAATGTAACTAACGGTAAGTGAATTTGGCGATCAGCTAATACACAATCATTTATCTAACAGTTTAAATATACAGTTTTAATTTCAATAGCGTATTTATAGTTTTTGTTGTGTATTTGATACAGTAGGATTTGATTTGTTTGCATATTTCAGTTTATTAACTAATGAATACCTCGAGCTCTGGACACCCATTTTCTCATGTGTGTCATCATGGTCATCATAACAGCTTAAAATCTTATACTTTAAGTGTATCATTTGCCTGGTCCAGATTTGACTATTTACATGCTGTTGTGATATCGGTGGAACATTGCAGCCTAAGCGCTATACAACAATCACTCTCACTTATTGTCAATAAATTCAAATCACTGAATTATCACAAAAATTACACAGAAACAATAACTTCCCACACTAATTCCTAATTAAACCTTGATTAAAATAGGGCACCGAGTGCCTTGTCCCAAATTTAACCTGACGCAGCTGTAACATATGATTTCATCATTAATAGCATTCTTTAACTAATAGTTACAATTTTCTGTTCTTCTGGCCTGTTTGGCCCCCGTCTTCCTCCTGTTCAATCCCTGATTATCGAGAATCTGTCCTGATTTGCCTCTTGTGCGGTTTCGGTTGGCATTCCTCCTGCCCAGCCTTGGTTCATCTACAGATGCATTATCCTCATCTTGTTGTTCCAGTAACCTAAAACAAAAGTCACCGATTGACAATATGTTACCACTACTACTGCAACATAGCATCGATAGATGGTAAATTTGTAAATCTTGGAGGATCAGCATAAATTAGAAATGACGAGAAAAAGGGATACCAACTAACGTAAGGTGGATCATATATTTGTAACTACTGTTTTAGTTATAGAACAACATTTTGCACAAGCCATATGATACAATACACTTGCTATTTAATAAATAAGAAAAGACATCTAGCCTTTTGTGGTTAAACCATGGCTTCTTTGTTTAGGCCTGTGGTCTAACTAAAGCTTATATTATTAGTTAGACCTGGACAGAACATTTTTTGCTATCATTGATGATAGAACAATTTGATGAAAAAACATGTGACGCCAGCAGGATCCCAACCTGCACTGTCTGCATTGATGGCTGACAAATGTAGACTCCTGCAGCGACATGGCAGAAATTGTACGAAATTAACAACTAAATACAACTTACAGCAGGACTAATACAGTGAAATATGTGTTTATGCTGTACCTTTTATTTTATTCTATGTATTGTACAAGTTTACATGGTATTTGGTAGCTGTGTGTTCAAAGTAAGGAAACAGATAGAAATGAAAATACTCTTTGTTTTGATCAGGGCTATACTTAGACGATAAACATACTGTGTTTTCAATGCTAAACTAGGAAACCTGTATATTTAACCACGCTAAATTGAATTTGGAACCAAATGCGCAGCTTGAAGTTTCAAATGTTAAACTTAGCACAGTTAAATCTACAAGTAAACTAGTTCTACATTGAAAACACAGTATGTTTATCGCCATTCTACAATGACTAAATAAAACGCAAACTCTTTGGTGTTTGCAAATATATATTGAGTGAAGCGGCATGGGCTCAATCCAGTATTTTGAGTCGGTTGAGACCCGTGAAGATCCGGGGTAGAATAGGTCTTCAGCAACCCATGCTTGCTGTAAAAGGCAACTATGCTTGTCGTAAGAGGCGACTAACGGGATCGGGTGGTCAGGCTGGCTGACTTGGTTTATTCATGTCATCGATCCCAATTGCGTGGATCGATGCGCATGATATTAATCACTGGAATGTCTGGTCCAGATTTGATTATTTACAGATTGCCGTCATATAGCTGGAATATTGCTGACTGCCGCGTTAAACAACCAACCAAACCAACCAATTTGAGTAGGATGTCGACCTGAATTACAGAATCATCGACAACAGCCTTTAAACAAAATGTCGGGCTGTATATCATGGTATATTCAATTAAATGGGGGGGGGGGGGGGGGGGGAGGGTTTAACAACTTCTGAATCAAGTTATATTCAAGTGATTGATCAATGCGTCTGTGTTGGTCCTATATGAATTATATTCACACTTGCCAAGGGACATGCATGTCATAGCCTGATTTGGCAAACAGCAAGGTGCACGCGTGAAGGGCTCAGGGAACATATCCCGTGAATCACACATGGCCCACTCACAAAGTGTTCTCACAGTCAAGGATAAGAGTTCATGAATGTAAAATATGGTTATCAAAACAATGTTGTTTAAACATTTTATGTGCTATGATTCTTTGAATTTTGGCCATGCCCTTAATCGGTGTGATCTAACCAATACTTAGATCACCTGACCCACTTAATCATCTTATGTGACAAGCATAAAATTTGGGTTCTATTTCACCACAGGATTTCAGCTAAGAGGTTTCAAAAGTGAACAGGTCCGGACGCAAAACCAGATTTAAAAGCACGCGTAAATTTCAGTGCCACCGGGAGTTTGTCATATCGACCACTACTCTCTTGTTTCATTACAATTTGCCATAGGCTTGGAACATAATCCATCATGTAACCCCTTGTATATCTACAAAATACCGCAAAGCTTTGTTTTCAGCAAATTAACTTACAATTCATTGTGATATGACATCAGAGGATCCAGATAAACCAATCAAATCATTATCTTGCAAGTGAATCAGGTCACTGGCTGTCGGATTCAAACTTTGAGGTACGATCCATTTTTGAATTAGAGACGTTTTTAAAGACATTAGATAAGAATGTAGAACTCTTTTCTGTTTTCATTTCTGCACTTTTAAAGTTTATTGCATTTAACAGAGAAAATGTGTCTGAAAGTTTCCTAGCGGTTGAAATATTGCTGCCATTTTGAAAACATACAATACCTCCCTTGCCTTGTGATAACACAAGCTCCTCACAGCGATATCCCGTAGAGCTCATTATACTATCGCTGCCACCAGTGAAAGCTCACCACTGTGACAGGTGGCTAAAACCATGCTCGGAGTTGAACTCGCAACCAACTGACTGTTATGTTTACAAACAAGTGATGCCTGCCATGACACCTAATACTCTTATGCCTGCTAAATTATTTTCTTTGTTTGTCCATTTGAATTTCTGTTTTATTACAACTATCATAAAATTTGGAATAGTAAGAATGTAAGGGGGAATTTGGTTGATTTTTTCTTTCGTCTGCAATCTCAAACCAATCTGATCAAACAAACGAAAAGGTAAATTTGTCTGGGAAATATGGTCAGTCATAAACCTTTTCAAAATTAACTGTGATGGCATTCCCAAAGACATAAACAATAGTATAAATGTCACTAAATTTAGGGTTAGTTGACAAATTTCAAGATACTTGTAATGGCCATGCCCGACCTGGTGGCAGCGATGTTACCGAGAGTGTAACTCACGGGAAAGAGCTTGGCGATTACAAGGGGGATACGGTGATATAGGTGTGATAATAACAGAACTTGCAATTTGGCAGGTAGATGCAAAGGTACCAATAAAGAATTATGTCCCTTTGAGGAAGATTAACGTTCTTTTCCCGCATGTCAAATAAACCTCTAAACACTCAATAATATAATGTAGAATTGAAATTTTGCACACACCTTGAAATCTGGTGTTTCATCCGTGCCTACACATGACCTAGTAAAAGTTTGTTATTTAATAAAATCTACAGGTATTGAAACCTAACCTTTGTTTCCATATTGTCATTATATAATCATTAATCAAGTCATTGCAACCATATCAATTTCATATGACAAAATTATCCCAACAGCAATCAATGTCAGTTAACCATCCAATAAATGTGTGCAACCATTGTGAAAAAAATATTTCATTACATTCATTGTATCAATTGAAATGTTGTGTCAGACTATCTTTACAGAATGCAGAACAAACTTAATTAGATCAATTATTCGACAGTTACAATATTGGTGTTGAAAAGTCAAATTAATTGTTTGCTATTGAGTTGCTTTTTCATTTGTGTTCCACACCTTTGAGAAACATAATAATTATATCACGCACATGAAATTAATGAGCATATACGTCAAGACTATGGCCCGACATCAACATGCATATGATACTAGCTTTTCATTTGTGTTCCACACCTTTGAGAAACATAATAATTATATCACGCACATGAAATTAATGAGCATATACGTCTAGACTATGGCGCGACATCAACATGCATATGATACTAGCCTGACACACACAGCTGTCAAACGTGAGCGACCAGCATCTGCCTTCACTCGTGACCCAGTTGTGATCCAAAACAATCAACTCGTGCAAGGCTATGTTTAGTAACAACCAGAAACCGCCTTGAACGTTGTTGTGCAAGACTTTCAACAAACTACCACAGTTGTCATTAACACCGTTATATTCTTTTAGCCCTCTTTTCAAATAAAAAAACTGAAAATTTCACGTTCATTCGTGGATATTTCACCTTAACAAATCTGGCGCACTAAAGACATTTGGTCCGAAATTTGACAGTTGGGGTGGCAATATTATTTTTGCTCTGTGCGTTATTGTTACATACACGAGGTCATCTTCAACGAATTCATAGATGAACAGATCTCTGTTTTCTCTTGTAACACCCATGATAGTTCCTGAATATCCTCACGAGCGCCGAAACTCCCTTCTCTTCGACCTTCCTGATGTTGACAGATGTCTTCTTGCCACCCAATGACGAAATGTACATCGATACAAAAGATGGACTATTCAACTAAAACGAAACGAAATATTGTTAACTCCCTGCAAATAACGGAAATATATATATAATTGAGAATTAACGCTGAGACATATGTTCTGGTGTGGGAAGGTGGAAGATGTACATGATATTAATTAACTCCTGAGTAGGATCCGGGTTACCCACAGGATATATAGTCACGTGATATATTGTTTAATGACAAAAAATATCTAAAACTCTATGATTACAGTATAAGTCACTAATGTTCCCTTTTCTTTCTGACAATGTACCCATTCCTTCTGACTTTTACATGTTTGAAAAACGATAAAACTTCATGCAGTAAACTTCAGTGTATGCATGACCAGATCGTTTTACACGTGTTTCTAAATACATTTTGCCAGGGCTAAGGTCAAACTTTTCCAAATCGGACAGTTTGTACCCATCTCTAAATATCTACAGCAGGTACCCGGGGGCGGTTGGGTAATAGGGTGGAGGGTATCCGGGTAGTAAATTTGGACTCACCCAGCCCTAGTAGAAATGAATATATGCATCCAAGTTGTGTTTATTCTCCAATAAGTTATTTCAGAGATAACACAAATGATCCATGTGCAGTATAAGGTCTTCCGTGCCGGTGAGAACCAGGCTGACATTTCCGTGCCGAGCTGAGCGCAACCCAAAGTGATTAGTGCATAACATGTGAAAACGTATGACATCAACAACATAAACATTAAGGTAGATGTAATATATTATTGAGATGCTACATGTCCGCTTTGACCACCGCCTGATAGGGAATAATGATACAATATTTGACCCGCGTACAGCAACACACACGGACTCAGTGGTCAAGTGGATGGAGCGTCTGCCTGAAGATCGGTGGTTCGATCTCCTGGCCGCGTCATAATACCAACATATGTTAAAACCTTTTTACCTGTTGTGACCCTGCCCGGCTCTCGGCATTTTAAAGAGGATAAAACAAGATCTGGCGGGTTGAGAGTCAGTGAGTCTGAGTGTGAATGCTGCCTCGATCAGTGGGTTAGCACTATAAAACCGATATATGTCCGGATTATAACAGACAGACAGACACACACACACACGCGCACGCACGCGCAAACACACACACACACACACCAAGTAAATTAAACCCCGGTTTACCTCACACGTGAATTGTACAATTGTCGAAGAAAACGACAATCTGTGTCTAGCGTTGTAGAAGTAACATAGTCTTCAAGAAAATAATGTATTGTAATTTGCTTACATTTATTTATCATGAGAAAGGAATGTGTAGGATTTGTTAATCTACATTAATCAGAACCTTGAAAAGATAAAACAATCAAACGACATTTGAAACATAATTTTTCGCCTATAATAAAATTGTAAGCGAGCAAACAGATTCGAGTGACGACATCTCCAGAACACTATTGATTAATTATTTGATTGAGTTTTGTAAAGGGAAATGGTTGCCTTCAGTTGAGTGTTATGTTTTATATTCAATTATATAATAAGCATTTATATGATCATTTTTCACACAATACTTCATATGTTCGCTGCCCTATCGAACTATTTCGCATTCTTAATTCCCTACATTTATGCTGAAGAATAAACACGCACATTAATAAAATGTATTTTTTGTGATCATATTGACCAAGAAAATCATATGTTACTTGTATATATCGATTTTCATTAAATTATTGAAATAACTTCGTTTCGTGTAGGGTTCCCACTTTTGTATTTAATCAAATCATTATCCTACCTAAAACGCTTTTCTTTCGCAGGTTTATATATTAAAAATATATTTTTCGTAGTAATAACTTGCAATATGAAACGAAGCGGTGATATACAGGCAGTACAAATGATGAGCAATGAATAATCTCGTACATTTCCATTCGTGACCAACTCGTGTTATTCCGGGACAAGCCGAATAGCAGGTTACGGAAAGGGGCGAGTGGTGACGAGCAGTGTAGCGCCAGCGTACCCAGGGAACGCTGCATTTCGAGAGCCAAAGTGTCATTCTCCTACCCAGAGTTCCTTGCGGTCGGCAGCCAGCATATATACACTGCACCGGAGTCCCCGAACGCACTGCGTGGAGCTTGCGCCGGAGTGTGCCAAAGTTTAATACATTCAAAATGGCTGCCCTCATGTGTGTAATTGGATTGTTGGTGCTCGTGCTCATGATCTTTCTCGTAAAATATATACTATTTTCAAATGAAAAGTTTGAGATCACGTTTGAGGACAAACCATCGTTCCAAAGGATACTGCTCAGGGGTATTTTTTTGATTGTCAGTAGAAAACAAGGACGTTTATACATCAAGACGAACCGGGCAAGGGAGTCGTCTGCTCGAGACCCGCCCACTCAAGTCGAAACAGGTGGAAAGGTGTCTGTGTTGAACGAAAGTAATATCATACCAGGTGATCCTTGGCTTAAATTGTCAATTACTAATTTCAGGTATGTATCTTATGGTGCAATTTCTCTTGTTATATATATTTATTCAGACTTATGGACAAAAAATCGGGAGAGCTGCTGCCAGAGCTCGGAAGTTGTAATCCTTCCCACTCCCAGATCTCTTCATCCCAACAGCCCAATCATCAATGGCATGTGTCGTGCTGCAGTTGACCTTTTGTGTGCACATTTATTGTTAGTAATAAGATAGAAAAAACTAGTGCTATATTACTGTTGCTGGATATTTATGTTTTGGGTATATGAGTTTCCCAGGCCTGGACTTTGGAAAATTGAAAATGTTATTAAGTCACGGAAATATCATCAAAAAATAATATTTTTGAAGCATTATTTATTTTCTTATGTCGTATATCAGTGACCTTCGCCCTTTACTGTGATATGTTGCTAACTTTGGCATAAGAACACTTGTTGATTAACATAATCATCAATCTTTCTTGTAGACTAGATGCAGCGTCCTTAGAAGCATACAAGAAGCTATCTTGTGTAAAGACAAATGATGCTGTTCCTATCTGCTATCCTGAAACTATATTTATGCGAATGTCTGCATTTCTTGCAAGCTCTCCAAGAAGTTTCATAAGTCCCCTAGGTGAGAATTTGTTTTTCAACTTACTTATGACAAACTAATAGCCTATTTAGCCGCAGTAGAAATTCGCACTATTTTGTAGTCCTTGCCAAACTGCCTCATAGTTATGGTATCACAAGGACGAGTAGAAACTTGCCATTTTTAAGGATTTTGATATATTTTATCATCATAAGGACTATTGGACTAAAAACATTCGTTTCTAGCGCTGATTAGTAGTCTACCAGGAACTTTTGTCTGTTAATATGATATTCTGAACTAAATTTTCAACGTTAAGTCAAAGATCAAGATTCTGCGATTCTGTCGATGATATGTTACTTCATATGTACCGGTAATGTGTTTTTCAATGTTGTGATCAAAGTGAAAAGGTGTGTTCAGTGTTCATTTCAAAGTTGAAATATAAAATTAAAATAAAAAACACCATTTGATGTATTTTCTGTTCATCTTGCATTGAGATATCAGTAATGAAGTAATGAAACCTTCAGGAAATAATGTGAAGAAATACTAGTAGGTATAGTTATATGAAAATTTCATATAACTATACTTATTATAATTAGTGGGGATAAGAGGGCGAAGCATTCAAGTGCAGGACAATCACGACTAAGAGCTCCCCCATTTGTCCCAATCGTTGACAACCCTGTAGGTGGGAGGCTGGGCATGTTCTGTCAGAACTGGATCGCACTGGCGGACGCTTGTAAAAGTACTCAACATACTGTGCTACGCTTACTGTCTGAACATAGCGTTGGAACCACTGTTGTCCACAGCTCCTCCTCCTTGGGCTTACCCAAGGAAACCAACTTCTACTGAAGTCCAACAGAGACATCTTGCTGGAGGAAAGAGGTGTAGAGATTGTACATGACCCAGCGCTAACACCGGGCTTCTACTCTCCGATCTTTCTAGTACCCGAAAAGGACTGATGATCCACAATCACACTGTGTTCAACTAGCACAACCTGGAGCATCCACCTTATTTCCACCTCACAACCTTGAGACTGCTCAGGACAAGCATCAAGTTTTCAACTCTCTGGTCAGTCTCAACTTGCATGTTGCGTCCCTGCATGTACCTATTCATCCCTCCGACAGGAGATTTCTCAGGTTCCTATTCAATGGGGTCCACTACCAATGGGCGTTCCTGCCCTTTGGCATGTCGGTCGCTTCGTGGCTATTTACACAAATAACCAAGCCAGTAGCTGCCTTTCTACACCTGAGGAACATCCTGTTAGAGTCGCACATAGACAACTTATTTCCTAGGTCATCGGGACACTACTACCCTGGTGCGCCATCGGGACTCCACCAGGCGTCTACTATATCAACTGGGTTGGACGGTCAACGAGGCGAAGTCAAAGTTAACTCCCTCTTACCAACTCCAGTTCATAGGAGGCCTGTTCCACACATATCAGGACCCTCTATCTAATCAGAGGGACAGATGGCTCAAGATCTTACACCACCTGTCACCTGCCCTGCGACAATCTCACACACTTTAACAATGGCAAGTGTTGTTGCTGTTACTCACTACAGCCCAGGATCTGACAAACAGAGGCCGACTACATCATCAGGCGTCAAGACCCATGTGCAGCCATCACTCTATCATCCCACCTAACGACACATCTCAACTGGCGGATGGTAGAGTCGAACATCTTGGAGGCGTATCCTTATTCGGGCTAACCCCAAAACTTCACTTGTTCGTAGATGCCTCCCTTTAAGGGTGGGGTGCACAGGACCAGACAGCTGCAGGGTGGTGGTCTGGCACACGATGTACTTGGCACATCAACAACCTCGAGTTGGAGGTGCTCATTCTGGCCATCTCACATTTGCAGGAGCAGCTACGGTTCACCCAATTTGCAATCTCCACAAACAACAGCACAGTGGTTTGGTGCCTGCGCAGTCAGGGCACGACACACTATCACTGCCTACTTCAGCAGACGTTCAAGTTCTTTCATCTAGTGGATCATATAGGACTACAATTCCTAGTCCAGCACATCCCTTGATGTCGGAACATTCTGGCAGATGGCCTATCCCAACCAGACAAGTTGGCTCCCACGGAGTTGAAACTCCACCCAGATACTATGTCCTCCAGTGGTCAGAATGTGCTCGGATCTGAGCAGAGATTGTGGAGTTTCAAGTTACAAAATGACATTCCATTAACAGGCTCAGTGCTGGTCCTTATGCAGAGGGGCCTTGGGATGGTGGATCTTTAAGACAGATAACAGCGATCATATTGCCAACCAAAACCACTGTGTAACAAAGTACCAGAGGCGTTTCAACCGGTGATTCAGCGCTTTGGTCATGTCAACATCAACCTGTTCGCAACACATCAGAAGCACCAACTTGGGTGGAAGATGCATTCAGCATCCCCTGGGAAGGGCTAAATGCGTACGCTTTTCCACCTCCTGTACTGCTTCCCAGGGTGATACACAAAATCAAAGCTACCAAGAGTCTCACTCTGACTTAGTGGTTGTCGACCCCAGAAGTCGATCAAAAGACGATCCACTAACCCTCAAAGAGTGGCCAAACTTACTCATCCACCCTCACAGCAAACTACCTCATCCAACGCCAGGCAGATATCATCTGCACACTTGGTTTGTCTTAAAGGGGCACTAAGCGCTAAAGACTATTCGGCAAGGGCAGCTAAGGCGATTGCCTTGGCAGATTGCCCTTCTACCAATGGTTATACGATGACAAGTGGCCATCGTTTGAAACCTTTTGAAAGGCCAAGAATCAAGATCCCACTACAGTGTCACCTCAATTCTTTCCCGAGTACCTCCAACACTTGCATACCAAATGACACTCAATCTCATTAAAATCAGTTCTTAGTTCTCGCTACCGCCAAACAAAGATCTGAGGACATCCCATTAGGGGTCATATCAGAACGACCTTTCATCCGACCAATCAGAGCGTCGCTTACCAGATCATGAAAGTGACATTCGGAATGTGAATTCTGATAATACAACCTCGAAAGCTTTAACACGAGATATTCCGAACGATAGTTACGGGTTTAACGACTGAATCCATACAATGTGTAGACCATCTATTAGCCATTCCAGAATGTTCTTTTGTTCAGGTTTCAAATTTGTAATCGAGAATTTGTCAAAATATGTTTCGAAGCGTAGTGGCCAATTTGAAATTAATGCCGTAAAGCATGAGAAAGCTGCCTTCTGATTGGCTAATGTCGACTTCTTGTCAGTCCTTATATTGGTCGGTCAAAGTTCGCGCAAGGTCGGTCTGACGTGACCCCTAATGGGATGGGATTTTAATGAGATTGAATGACACTTGAAAGGTAGCACCATTACGATATATTTGGTTGCACTTAATTGAGTGTTGATTGTTCCAGAAAATCGCAAAATGACCGGTACTACAAGTTTCGGTACTACAGGATCATCCTTTTTCAACCTCACCAAGAAGACAATTTTTCACTTGGCTTTAGCCACTGCGGCATGCGTTAGCGAGTTACATGTACTCGAAATCACTCATGTCCACTTTGAGCATGGTACACAGGGAGCGGTTCCCCTAGGGCTGTGCTGGGATTTCATAGCAAAGAATCAGCTACAAGGCCAACCTGACCCAACCTTCACCATTCAACCAATCTCTACGATTGTGGGGGTCAAAGATGAAGGTGAACTCTTCTTGTCAGGCTCGCTGACTTGGTTGATGCATGTCATCGATCCCAATTGCGTGGATCGATGCTCATGATATTAATCACTGGATTGTCTGGTTCAGACTCGATTATTTACAGACCGCCGTCATATAGCTGGAATATTGCTGAGTGCGGCGTTAAACAACCAACCAATCAACCAATTGTGAGACAAGCAGTATTGTGATCAGATGTGATGTCACCAAGGATGGTCACATGACAACGGCGATGGATCCTTGAAAAAGTAGACTGAAGACAGAAACAACCTTTTTTCTTTTACCTAGGACAATCGCTAAGCACTGTTTTTTTGGTCGTAAGGTTAGCACTAGACGCTTTAAGGAGTAATGCAGGATAAGTATACAAATGTAAAAAATATTCAGATTTTACTAAGATTATAAATCATAAACCTTTTATGAGTGCAATTTGAAAAAGGTTTACACTTTGTTACAAGTTATAAACCCCCCGTTGCTTATGCTTCGGTCCAGGTTCCCTGTTCTGTGTTATCTGCATAGGGGCCCGTTCCAAAGAGCCATCTAAGCAGTTAGGTGATCATAAACTCCCCTACTTTAACGCAGGCTTAAGGTAGTTGCTCTAAGATTGCTTTGTGGAACAGGGCAAAGTACACTTACACTGTATTTTTGAAACATTGTTCCAGGCCTGATTCACATTAGGCAGACAATAACACAGCACCGCCCCTTAGATGATCTACTGGACGGTGGGTTCGACATTCATGCAAGAGCATTATACTGTGTGAAAGTAGAGAGAGGGATTGAAGCAAATGCTGAGTACAAGGTTACAGACCGTCACAACTTGTGTGTGTGGGAAGGCATAATCACAGTGTTGTCGAGAAGTCCAAAACAACAGAAAAGTGGAACATCAAGGAATGCTAAGAAAACAGATGCAAGCAAAACTGTTGGTATGTGTTCCGAAGTTTGGGTCTTTAAATTTTCGATGTAATGGTTGGAAATCCATTTTCTGTGCATCAATCTCCATGCTCCATAAGTTTTGACATCTTCCCAGAAGGGGCGGTCGGGTAGCCTAGTGGTTAAAGCGTTCGCTCGTCACGCCGAAGACCCGGGTTTGATTCCCGACATGGGTACAATGTGTGAAGCCCATTTCTGGTGTCCCCAGCCGTGATATTGCTGGAATATTGCTAAAAGCGGCGTAAAACCATACTCACTCACTCTCTCTTCCCAGAATGTGACTGAAAACATGATTGTTGAACACCAAAATATGAGTCAGATTTGACACTAGGCACATACTGTTGTCAATACTTCTCAGATTTGTACACACAATGTTTTTCCATAATCTTAATCAAGACTTGATTATTTACAGATTTCAATAATGCTGCATCCGTCTGAACATGAATGTACCTGGATGAATGATGATGAATGAGCATCTTAATTTTATAGTGATGAGAAATATTTACCTAAAATACCATGTGGGAAGATTTGTTGTTTGTTTTCTGTTTCACACAGATACTAACCTGCTTGGTGAGTGCCTGCTTCATGTCTGCCAAGACACAGGTGTGCGATATGCCAAGGCTACAGGGGACTGGAACCCTCACCACCTATTTCCCTGGACAGCCAAACTGATGGGTTTCAGGGCACCAATAGCCCATGGGATGTGGACACTGGCTAGAACACTGGATGAAGTTTTTGGGAATGGTAATAAATCACTATGCCTTCATGCTTAGAAATTATCTGTTAGTCCTGTACAAAATGTCTTCTGTTCAATGTGGTACTTTTTTATTATTCTAGGGTTGGATAAGTTCTTTTTCTTATTTTAAGCATAAATCTGCCTTTAAGTTTACATAGTAAAATATGAATAAATCAAAATGTTCTTCATTTGAAATATTCTTTTTTGTGCATCTTTATGTATATTTCAATCAAGATGTCTTTTCAAGAAATTTACATCAAATGAACCTGCCATCATAACATATTGGCCAAGGATATCCGTAAGACAAATTCCGGACAACCAGTCCAAATGAAAAAGATACTTTTTATCAGCTGGATTCAGTCATACAGGAAACCCAGGGAAGTAAATTTACATTGCAGGTTATTACATATGTTCCCAGAAAACTGCCAGTATATTACTGGTGAAGTGTCTCTAAATAGGCTGTCATCAAATATTATATTACACCATGATTTTACCAACCAACTATGAAAATGTCCCAATATAATTTGTCTCCAGCAAATGTCTGGTACTTTGGCCCCCAGTCCCCTTATCTATCTGCCTCAAAGAATCCTACTGTTTGCTTCCCTCTCCGAAATCTGACCATGCAGACTTATGGAATATGTTCCCTTTGTCAGGCAAAGGCAAGGAAAGAGATTTTATTACACTTCATTTGGTTAGAATACAGTGCAAAATTATTAGTTGGGGCTATCTCCCATGAATGAAAGATTAATATGGAATTATTATTTGTTTGGCAAACAGATTTGCCCATGTCTAATGTGCAAGATATAGGTCTGGATTTTTAGGATTGGTTTGATATACCTTTGAACTACGTTTAAACTGAGCCTCTCTCTTATCTTCTAGACAAAGTGAAGAGAACCTACCCTATTCATGTTGAATCCACCTTTAAACGCCCTCTTTTCATGCCTGGAGAAGCTAGGATACAGTATGGTAAAGACAGCAGGGATATGTCACAAATGTGGTTCAAGTGCTGTGAGGAATCTACAGGAGCACCCCATGTTACAGGAACTGTCAAGATGGGGAAGTAGCCATGTGTGTATGGCTGCATCATTCACCAATGTATGCATCATAATGCTTTGTGTCATGATGCCAGATTTTAATAGTGAGGTCATGTATCACATGTATACAGATTTAGGAGTATTGTATGGTTAAATCTGAATTGTAAGTAATATTACTTGAAACATTATGGAGCCAGTGTCAGCCAGGAAGTTTAACTGGCTTTAAAATTGCTAAATATATTTAGGTTACATTTCTAGTCATTCTTTTGATGATGTATTTATTTAAATCTTGAACTTTATATGTGTTGTATATCATTATTTATAAGTATTGCCATCATACCTTTTTATCAAGATACTTGCTGACCAAATTGTGTTCTGTGTTTTACAGCCCATCTTTGTTTGATGTGCAAAAGTATACTGAAGTGATACCTGTAAGAAGTTTGAATCACAAGGAGTTGAATGTGTGTTAATGAATATTGTAGCTAAAATGGATAGAATTATCATTAAACCGCCCGTATGTTATCAGAAATGAGCCGGCCACTGTAACTTGAAAATGCCCTCATATTGCTTGACGACGGGCCATTATCACGCCCGTTGTTAGCTGACGTCATGGGGATAGGGATGGGGATGGGGAACGTCACGTTTGATGGAGACGTCTTCTGGTTTGTTCTATGACGTTTCCATTTTTGTAAAAGTGGGTCAGTGAAATCCGTGTTGATTGCAGTAACTGTTTCAAAACCGACATTGTTGTTTATTTTTATTTATTTTTATTTGATAACAAATTCCATCCATTTTAGCTATATATTATATGTTGGGCAGTTAATGGAAGACCTAGGGCTTCTGCAAATGATAATGCCCTGAAAATTAGCGTTACCCTTATAATAAATATTTTTGTCAACTTAACCATTTCTGCTGTGTGTCATTATGCAGAATAATTTATAACACATGTTTTGGCATTTGTATATCTTGGACCCTTCTACGGCCAATCATTATGAAATATTATATGCAGGTTTGTTGTTTTGAAATGTTTGTTAATTTGAATATTCTTGTTTGACCTTTTATTGTGACTTTTAAACTATTGCAAATATTCCACAATAATTCAGGTATACTACATTGACTTGTTCCTCAGTTTTTATAGTTTTTGGCATGGTTTATATGTTGTTCATTGCATATACAGACATTACCAGTAGATGTGCTCATGTATTTGGTGTTATATAATTTATTATAATATGGGTCCTTTATTGAATTTCACTTTTGGATTAAGTCAAGATTGAGGACAAAAAATATATTATACACATATTTTTAACACCAGTATATACATATATAAACATGCTGGTTTGTTATTTTGAAATGTTTGTTAATTTGAATATTCATGTTTGCCCTTTTAAACTATTGCAAATATTCCAGAATAATTCAGGTATACTCGGATTTTATGATTGTGAGATGTTTTCGGCAGGGTCTATATGTTGTGTATTAATACAGTGTATTGCATTTACAGATGTTACATGTTATTATATACTAGTATGTCATAAAATTGGTTCTCAACTGCCCTTCACTTTTGGATTTAGTAAGATTGAGCGCAAATCAATATCATAAACATTTTTGTAACACCAGTATATATATTAAACTATTGGAATTAGAATTAAGTGGTGACCTAGGGCCTTGAGATTAACAGCTGTCTTTTGACAAGACCTCCTTGCTTTTTCATGTTTAGTTTCCAGCACTGGAATCAAAAGGTGCCACAGAAAATGGCACTAGTCCTGTAGTCCTTGCCAAAGTGCCCAATAGTTAAGGTGTCATAAGGACTAGTAGAAATTTGCCATATTTAAGGATTTTGCTATATGTTATCATTATAAGGACTAGTGGACTGAAATTGTTAGTTTCTACCACTGTGCCTTAGTGCGAACATTGTTTTTGAGTTTGGCACATAGATGATTTTTATTATACATTTTCTATTGTTCAAAATGTTTATGAATATACTCATTTTCATCAGATCTCATGAACCTGTTTTGGACTTGATTCTATATCTCCTGTTTCTGATTGTGCGAAATATGAGGAGTGTTACTAAGGTTGCAATTTTGGGACTTCGTACCCAGACTACAACTACCAGCAGTCTCCCATCAACGGACGGGAATGGAATATTGAACAAGACAGAAAGCAGTGAGATTTAGATGTTTTTTTGAGCAACCACAGCTCACGTTTTAACTCTCACAACACAAATGCCATGCATGGTGAACTGTAAAGACCCCGACCCCAAGAACAACATTGATTTGGTAGCGAAGAAAAAGACCTAACAAGTTTACATTCCGGGGCTGATTGTCATCATTATCTGACACTAAACGTCAGTGGCGGATGCAGAGGTAGGTGTGTGTGTGCGTGTGTGCGTGCGTGCGTGCGTGCGTGCGTGCGTGCGTGCGTGCGTGCGTGGTCAGTACTAGGGCCATATAAGGGACATAACTAGTAATAGGCACTGGTGGCGCTTCGATCGAGCCCAGAAATTCCATCCTAATTCGGCAAGGGTGAAGACTGGACTTTTACAGACTGTTAACTCCCATGCCTCGGGAAGATGTTAGATCATGTGCGAATTCAATGGTCGCGTTGGACTCACCCGGAACATCCTTACATATTTAAACATGCTTTGTACAGTGTTGTGTATATATATATACATAATTCCCATTCCCATTGCTACAGTTATAATCATGGCTAAATAAGCACCCAGGGTTCGAAATATGGCTTCTCTGACATCTTTCCATTTTGAAGTTCACCATCTCGAAATACGCCTTCTCAATCTCTCCATCAGTAATAGAAGTCGTGGCTGGCCCAGTCTTCAAAACACTGTGGCCTCGACATAAACCTATGACCGTGACGTTTGAATCTCGGTTCACCTTGGTTATGTTTCCACCAAAGTGGCTTTCACCAACGCCTGAGACCTACATCACTTCGGGCTATCCCTCCACATCAAACTGATACGCCGTGATATATAACTGTTTGTTTGTTTGTTGTTTAACGCCGCACTAAGCAATGTTCCAACTATATGACGGCAGACTGTAAATAATCGAGTCTGTTCCAGACAATCCAGTGATTGATGCCATGAGCATCGATCCACACAATTGGGATACGATGACATGCATCAACGAAGTCAGCGAGCTTGACCACCCGATCCCGTTCGTCGCCTCTTACGACAAGCATAGTCGCCTTTTACAGCAAACATGGGTTGCTGAAGACCTATAAACACCAAGGATCATAATCGGTGCAAATCGGAACTCGAACCCATCACGGACCATACCTACGCCTTTGGGACGCATGTCTGCCCCGTGTCCCTTATTATATAAGAAGTGAGAAACATGTCCGGCTGTAACCATGTTTATTTGTTCTCTTCGCCTGCCCAAAATCACATACATTATCGTATCTGCATAGCTTTACTAAAAGCTGTCAAATACCAACGTCAATGGTAAACTAATATCAACGACAGCCAGTACAAATCATAAAGTCATTCGAGCAACGAAACTATTCATTGCTATTATGCGCACTATCTATATAACCTCAATTTCTATTCATATGAATGACAGCTTATACCGAAATTGTATTGCGGTGTAGGACGTGCGCTTACTTCTCATCTGTCCTTTGTGGTACATGTGTGTGGAGACGCAGCCCAGTTTGTTGGCTGTCAATAAAGTACCTATCTTTCAATATGGCTATTCATACCCTCTCATTATTGCAAGAAGCGTGCACGACGTTAAACCCCATTTCACCCGACGCCATATACAAAAAGTGAGTACTTACAAATTACATGCTGTATACATTCAGTTGTGAGAAACAGTTTAAACAACAAGATGACACGTCTGACGCGGCATGGCTGACTATTACTAGAATACACACAGCAGACAGACAAGTTTATCTCATGAACCCTTGTTGCAAAATGGACACAATGTGGACAAATCTAGGAAATAACACTCCAATATCGGACGAGACTCAAGCTAGAGACAGGTAAGATTGATATAGTATTGCATTTTGCTCGCTGAACCTAATAAACATTCAGTTTCTGGTATATTTTATTACCATCGCTAATTTCTGCAAAGCAGCGACTATGTTGTATGTTAAAATACTCTACTGAGCGCTAATGAGCGGATGCAGGTAAGGTTGGATTTAGGTAAGGTTATGTATAATTCCAAGGGGGATTGGGGGGGAGGGGGGCGCATTCATATTGTGCCGCATTTTTGGCTAGGGTTCAGCAGTGGTATGAATGAATATGGAGACGCATTAATTCATTAATTCCAAGATTTACAGTACATAATATTCAACTAGTTCTTACTGAGGTCACAGGCACGTTTATTCAGAGTAAATGGCCCCGCCACAGGGGTACGTTGAAAGATAACAACATATATTCACTTGCATAAACAATTGTACAGGTAACACAAGATAACACAATCCTTCAAGATTGATACATTTACTTTAGATTTAGTGTACAAGGCAATAGGTACTAGGAATACGTCGGTTTCTACTTTCTGGAAAATGATATACAATAGAAAGTGATATTCATCTATGTTATATTTACAGTGAAACGTTTCACATCAGTGTTTGGATTATACTGCATTTTTAACCTATGTGATCGACAACAAAATTTACACTATACTGCAGGTGCATCTTCGTTACTTGTGAAAAGGTGCAAGCACTGTTACAAGAACTTGTAAATTGGCAGACATCTAAAACCACGATGTTTAGATTTGAATTGAATATATTACATTCTTGGCGAACGTAGCAAAGGTTTACTACCAAATCCCTTTTTCTGTATTTAATGGAAATATAGAGAATTGAAAACTACATATGTGGCGAAGATAAACTATTTAAAAATAAATGAGCTGCAGTATCTTGCGATATGGAATCATAAATGATGGAAGTATGATCATTCATCATCATTAATGAATTGTGATATATAGTCATAGAAGTATAATTACTCACCAGGCACATGTACTATTGATATTTAGGATGTAAGATGTCTTGTTTGAATCAATAAAAAAATATATTTATTTCTCATAATACATATAAATATCACCTTTCGCCAAGGATTTCATCGTTCAGTTCACGACTTGAATTATACGTGCAGTCTTGTGCAATCAATTCATCAGTTTAAAAGAGAAGTAAAAGATTATGAAACACCCTATTTGTTTTACCCATCTGATTAAACGTTCGCAGCAGAAAGTGACACTTTTTTGGATAATGAAAAGATTCTGTACCGATATTTAATACGACAATAATACTTTATACAAAGACGATGTCTACCTTGGTCTAAACTGAACAGTGTAATAGAGTCAGTCCTTCAATAAGGCAACAATGAGGTAGAATCATTCAACATGCCTACAATGAATAGCGCTATAGCCAGTTCTACACTGGACGCATACACTACTGTGTTGATGTTTGGAAAGCGTTTACTTAACCCTTTAAAGTCTTTCGTGCACTTAATGAAAATACCAGCCTCAGATTTAATTAATCACGCGGTTTACATACACAACAAACTGCGTTTATAACCAACACGCTTATAACGAACGACGGATATAACGGAATTATTTTTTTACCCAGCCATTTGCTCTATATATATGCTGGTATATAATTATGATTATAAAAAAAACTACGGTTATATCGAACTAATATCAGTGGTCCCTCTGAGTTCGTTATAACCGTAGTTTACTGTATGCGAATAATTACATACATAAAACTTATGGTAATCCTGTTGCAGGTTCTCTTGAGGAGCGGAGCACGGTATAACAGCATCTTGTATTTCAAAACAAGTTTCAGCTTAAAATGTTACTTTGAGTACAGGCAGATTGCACTATGGCCCACAGGCGGACAACGAGCGTGTCAGAGGACGAGCCCGTGTACAGAGTGGTGCGTCCAAAACTCCACACACCATACCTGTTAAGAACTGACCCATTCAACTCCAAAGTAAGTAAAACAACTGGCCTCTTATTGTTTGTCTCAGACGAACGCGCAATTTAGCTCTGAGTTTTAAGTGTTATCTTGTTTCCTGATTTGTTGTTGAATGCATCCGATTGCAACGATATGCTGACACGTATGGGTATGCTTGAAAAACATGAAACATGAAACATGAAACCTCTGTAATCTGGATGATGCCCAGTTAATTTATCCGGATCAACAAATTTTCGGATTTACGTAATGGACTGTGTGAACACCTAAACAGTAACTGCCCGTATGGTTGAATATCCGGTCTTACGAGGTTTCACTGTATCTTATAAATCTTGAGCGTAGATGTAGTGACAAACACTAATAATATACAATACAGGGACCCGTTCCACAAAGCGATCTTAGCGCTACGACTGTCGGAAATCTATGTTAAAGTATAGGAGTTACGATCGTCTTAGCGCTACTATCACTTTGTGGAACGGGCCCTGACGTATGAAATCTGTATCATTTTAGTCAATGCAGTCATGATTTTAAAGAATATTTATCCGGGTTTCCTGTATACTGCAAATAATGAAAAACAAAATTATAATTATCACATTATAAAATATTAGAAACAGTTATTTTATTTTTCTTATTGATTAGTATTTACCTTTGTAACCTATTACTATACTGATATTGGCAAGAAAAGCAATGGCCGTGTGTTACGTGTGTTTCATAGATTACTCCTAATGATCTACACTGGGCTGCAGAAAAGGGAAACATCAACCTGCTGGCGCATCTCCTCCTTGAGAACCACGCTACTAACATCACCGACGCCGTGAGTAGCTGTCCATATATGTTACTAACACCACTGCCTCCTTGAATAACTGTCCACATATGTCCCTAACACCACTGACTCCTTGAATAACTGTCCACATATGTCCCTAACACCACTGACTCCTTGAATAACTGTCCACATATGTCCCTAACACCACTGAATCCTTGAATAACTGTCCACATATGTCCCTAACACCACTGCTTCCTTGAATAACTGTCCACATATGTCCCTAACACCACTGCTTCCTTGAATAACTGTCCACATATGTCCCTAACACCACTGACTCCTTGAATAACTGTCCACATATGTCCCTAACACAACTGACTCCTTGAATAACTGTCCACATATGTCCCTAACACCACTGCTTCCTTGAATAACTGTCCACATATGTCCCTAACACCACTGCTTCCTTGAATAACTGTCCACATATGTCCCTAACACCACTGACTCCTTGAATAACTGTCCACATATGTCCCTAACACCACTGCTTCCTTGAATAACTGTCCACATATGTCCCTAACACCACTGACTCCTTGAATAACTGTCCACATATGTCCCTAACACCACTGCTTCCTTGAATAACTGTCCACATATGTCCCTAACACCACTGCTTCCTTGAATAACTGTCCACATATGTCCCTAACACCACTGACTCCTTGAATAACTGTCCACATATGTCCCTAACACCACTGCTTCCTTGAATAACTGTCCACATATGTCCCTAACACCACTGACTCCGTGAATAGCCGTCCATATATGTCACTAGCACCACTGACTCCGTGAATAGCCGTCCATATATATCACTAGCACCACTGACTCCGTGAATAGCCGTCCATATGTTACTAACACCACCGACGCCGTCCACTTATGATACTAACATCACCGACGTCGTCCATATATGTCACTAGCACCACTGACTCCGTGAATAGCCGTCCATATATGTCACTAGCACCACTGACTCCGTGAATAGCCGTCCATATGTTACTAACACCACCGACGCCGTCCACTTATGATACTAACATCACCGACGTCGTCCATATATGTCACAAGCACCACTGACTCCGTGAATAGCCGTCCATATATGTCCCTAGCACCACTGACTCCATGAATAGCCGTCCATATATGTCAATAGCACCACTGACTCCGTGAATAGCCGTCCATATATGTCACTAGCACCACTGACTCCGTCAATAGCCGTCCATATATGTCAATAGCACCACTGACTCCGTGAATAGCCGTCCAAATATGTCACTAGCACCACCGACTCCGTGAATAGCCGTCCATATATGTCAGTAGCACCACTGACTCCGTGACTAGCCGTCCAAATATGTCACTAGCACCACTGACTCCGTGAATAGCCGTCCATATATGTCAGTAGCACCACTGACTCCGTCCACTTATGCTACTAACACCACCGACGCCGTGAGCAAAGACATGTTCAGAAAACGCTTTTCACGTTTGTTTGTATTTGAAAAGGTGTGATATGCCAAATCCATGCCCAGAGGCCACAGGAAAATATCTTGCCTTTTACATATGTCAACATGTTCTAGTTTGGCCGTACACCCCTCCACGAGGCAGCGGCGAACAACCAGCTGCAGGCCGCTGATTGGCTAATGTTCCATGGTGCAGATCCACACATTAAGGACTATGTGAGTACATAAGTGATTGAGTGAGTGATGTATTTGGGTTTAACAGCGCTTTGAAAAGTACTCAGTAATATCACAGCATATCCGCTTTATCTGGGAGGAAAGCCACTTTGGTGTAACCCATGAGTAAGGGTATGGTGCTGACAAACCAAGAAATATAACCGATCATAGGCCTCTGGAGTTCCCAAGGGATACTACTCTGCACAGCGAATTGCGGCGCTTTGGACGAAGGTTCACCCGTACATGAGCAGACCCTTAAAGACTATTGATGCATATATAATATTATGACAGAAAACATAGCTTCACAAATATGAATGATAAGACTTTATAGGCTTCTAATATTACATGTAATTATCTTTGATATGTTTATGTTGATATGCATAAAACAAAGTGAGCGAGTGATTATTATTTTATGCCGCTTTAAAGAACTCTATATTCATTTTTAATGTGCCTTTATGCAGAATCGAAACCGGGTCTTCGACATAACGTAAACACCAGGCCACCCCGTTAACAATCAACATGACACAGTGACACGCTTGTATCAATCAGCAGTTTCTACCTGTATCGGGGGCACGGGTGGCCAAGTCGTCTCAGGCGCCGCGATTCGCTGTGCAGAGTTGCGTCCCTTGGGGACGCCAGAAACCTATAATTGTGGTTGCGAATTCCGGTTCGCCCCGATTATGTTTCTAGGTTTGTCAGCACCATACCCGTGCTCGTGGGTTTCACCGAAGTGGTAAACGTGTGAGACCTGCATCACTTCGGGTTTTCCTCCCACATTAAGCTGACACGCCGTGATATAACTGGAATAATGTTAAAAGCGGCGTTAAACCCAACTCACTCACTCATTTCTACCTGTATCGCGGAAATCGAAAAGTGTCGGGGCAAAAGACTACTGTAAATCTATGAAACAGCGCATGTTTAGACCATATTATTGTGACAGGCATTTATCTTTTTTCAAGGAGACGTGAGGTATGTTGATGTCGCTTTTAATGCTTTACAATTTATAATGATAATGAAAAAGATAACTTTTCTAGACAGGTGTTTATTCAATGATTTACGGTATATACAAATAATACACTGTTTATTTATTATTGCTGTGTAGAAGGGCCATGTACGAACAATTGTGTAACATATGGCCTCCGTGATCCCGAACGTTTTAGCATCAATTTCAGGAAAGTCACACGGCCATGTCGATGAGCAAAAGCGAAAAGATGACACAAATACTGTCCCAGAACCCGCCGAGCAAGAGGTAAATGTGTGTGTGTGTGTGTGTGTGCGTGCGTGCATGCGTGTGTGTGTGTGTGTGTGTGTTACTCATGTGTGTGTGTGTGTGTGTGTGTGTGTGTGTGTGTGTGTGTGTGTGTGTGTGTGTGTGTGTGTGTGTGTGTGTGTGTGTGTGTGTGAGTGTTACTCATCACAGAGTGCACTTTTGTTTCAATTAACAGTGTATGTTTACACTACCTTCACGTTGGATCACAATTCACGTTAAACCACAGTATTGCAAGAGAAGGCAATAATACACCAATACTCGCAGGTGTTATGCCCGAGTGAGTATTGATTAATATGAAACTCACACACATGCAATTATAGTTTTTATGTTGAAGAAGTGCTTTCAAGTTGTTAGAGCCGTCCGTCGTGGAGGTTCATAGTACTGTTTGTTGTTGAATACTATTGGTATAAAGTGTATCCAAATGGGACAACCATGTTCAACTGCAGCATGGTATTTCAGTGGGTTACTCTGTACAACCGGTATACGTCGGGACTGGTACAAGCATCTTCCCACCCACGTGCATGTATGTAGCCTTTTGGTAAGAGGTGTTGTTCGCCTCCTAGTGCGAATGAGTGAGTGAGTGAGTATGGTTTTACATCGCTTTTAGCAATATTCCAGCAATATCACGGCGGAGGACACCAGAAATGGGCTTCACACATTGTACCCATGTCGGGAATCGAACCCGGGTCTTCGGCATGACGAGCGAACGCTTTAGCCACTAGGCTACCCGACCGCCCCCTAGTGCGAATGAATCCCAAATGATAGTCCACACCGCGGCCAGCTTTCTCCATTACACTAAGACGAGACAATACGACATGTAAATATACAAATATATACATGAAGCAGGTAGGGTTAATGGATACGACACACCTAGCGAGGATTCCGAAGCAGAATTCGAGGTAGGTGTGAACTTGTGATGATCCGGTGGTTACAGTATGTGACCCCATGCTGTCGACCTCATGTTTCTCAAACTACTTCTTAATCCTCTCTATTGTATAAACACTGCCTCCTACCTGTATATATACTTGTCAACCATACTCTGTTCATAACTTGTTTTATAACGGTGTTAGAACCTACACCGAAACGTCGCTCCTAATTGTAATAAAGTTGTTCATCCATGCTATGCTATGCTATGCTGGGCGGTCGGGTAGCCTAGTGGTTAAAGCGTTCGCTCGTCACGCCGAAGACCCGGGTTCGATTCCCGACATGGGTACAATGTGTGAAGCCCATTTCTGGTGTCCTCCGCCGTGATATTGCTGGAATATTGCTAAAAGCGGCGTAACACCATTCTTACTACTACACTACACTACACTACACTACACTACACTACACTACACTACACTACACTACACTACACTACACTACACTACACTACACTACACTACGCTACACTACGCTACGCTACCCTACGCTACGCTACGCTACCCTACGCTACGCTACACTACACTATACTATACTATGCAGGCCAGAAACTATCATCCTGATTAAGGACACAACGCACGACGTGTATGCCCTGGACGTGTTGGTGTTCACCGGGAACCAGTTCGGCCCTGAACCATCCTACATGACCTGCAGAAGACGGTCGCCATCGAAGAGCTCCCTCAGGTTTGTGGTATTCCCATTGTCACTCTGCCTCCTATAGCTGTAATGTGTATTTCTACAGTGAAATATCTTATATCTTGATATTCCTTACCTGTCACAATGTCCAAAGCTTCTGAGTTCCCAGATTTGATATATGTATATGCTGATTAATTTGAATAAATATTTTCCAAGGCAAAATCACAAAGTGTAGTATCGATTGCGTAAATGTGAACATAAGTATTCCTCAGTCATCTTATGTTCACATTTACGCAATCGATACTAAACTTTGTGACTTGGCCTTGGAAAATATTTCATAAGCATAAAACATTGTTATTCTTTACGAAAACCATTAGCATTCTTTATTCTTAATCTCGTCACTATATGGCTGGAAGATTGCCCTCTGTGACGTTAAATATTAACTCACTTACTTACTCACTTTATTCTTAATCGGTACACCCCGATTTTGTCTAGGTTTGTCAGCACCATACCCGTGTTCGAGGGTTTCACAAAAGTGCTAAACGTCTGAGACCTGCATCACATCGTGCGTTCCTCCCACATTAAGATATAACTGGAATACTGTTCAAAGCCACGTTAAACCCAACTCACTCACTCGCTAACAATTCGGAAATGAAAGACATACCACAAAACTCTTACGTACCTCTTCCATGTAAATACTCCTTTTTAAGTGTTCTTGAAGGTAACTGGGACTCTCTTTCTTTCTGCTTTCTTTGGCGTCTTGGTCTTTGGTCCGCTGGTCAAATAAACAAACTTTTCCGATTGTGATGCTTGGTCAATCAGAACCATGCTTTTAGTCGTGAAGGAGATGCTTTGTTTGTCACTCATATAAAGCTGCCAACCTGGATCTTATTGAACCCATACTCACTCACTGTTGATAACACCCGTGAAGATCCGGGTTAGAATAGGTCTTCAGGAACCAATACGCTATGCTTGACGTGAGAGGCGACTAACGGTTTGGGTGGTCAGGCTCGCTGATGTGGTTGATGCATGTCATCGTATCCCAATTGCGTAGATCGATGTTCATGATGCAAATCACTGGATTATCTGGTCCAGACTCGATTATTTACAGACCGCCGTCATATAACTGGAATATTGCTGAGTGCGGCGTTACACAACATACAAACAAAACACTCTTGATAACAAGCTCTGATACTTGTTACTTCAGGCACAAACTTGCAAAAGGGGAACACTTCTGGCGGGATGTAATTGAGTACAAGATGTCGCAGGTCAACTCGTCCAGTGTGGTGACAGTTAATCTGTTGGTTGCCGACCTTCCTCCTTCTACCAATGAACTGATCCTGAAGATAGAAGGAGTGGGTGGCCATGTCAAGGACGTCAAGCCAGGAATGGATAAGTTCTTTATAACGGTAACGTATTCAATTAAAGACGTAATCCCTTAATGGATGACCAGTGAAGATTCCGGGGTAGAATAGGTCTTCAGCAACCCATGCTTGCCGTAAAAGGTGACTATGTTTGTCGTAAAAGGCGACTAACGGGATCGGGTGGTCAGGCTCTCTGACTTGGTTGATGCATGTCACCGATCCCAATTGCATGGATCGATGCTCATGATATTAATCACTGGATTGTCTGGTCCAGACTCGATTATTTACAGACCGCCGTCATATAGCTGTAATATTGCTGAGTGCGGCGTTAAACAACAAACCAACCAACCAACCAACCCTTAAAGGATAGGCCTTTCGCTGAGTGTTCATTGCATTGTTTGCCTCATTTTTGTCTGTTTCTTCGGAAAATGACACATGCATATGTTTGATTGACATTTACATTTGATTGAAAGCTACACCAACTAGATGATGCCCTGTTCAGGATTTTGGCAGAACAATTTTCCTCGAGCATAATTTCGGAGGGTTCAGTATTTGTTCCAACCGATTTTGTTATTATGTCTTCTATGTACAGGACAATGAAGTCTGGGTATGCCAAGTTCTTGTCCATCTGAACAAGTCTGGGTCAATTGGTTTATGTTCTCGACCAAAGTCAGAGGTAATGTCGATACCACAGGACGGTGGTCAAGTGAAGTCCAGGACCAACAGTGGCGTGAAGCTCAGTGTTCCTCCTCATGCGTTCAAGCGACCGGGCAATGTGTTGCTGACAGTAAGATGTTATGTATCTTATCATCTCCTTGCAGTGACAATGGTTTAACATTATGGTTTAATAACAGGCGAACTACCATACAAAGCCAATCTATTAATCTTAGAGGTGAGGTGAGGTGAAATGGGGTTTAACGTCGCGTCCAAGACTATTGCACTTATAACACGACGTGCATGCACGTGTATGTGTGTGTGTGTGTGTGTGTGTGTGTGTGGCTGCTTGTATTAGTCCGGACTGATGTCGATTTATAGTGCTAGCACACTGAGATACCATGCCGCAGTTTAACATGAATACCCCTCTCAGACACAGTATACTGACTCCGAGCCGACCAGTCCTTGTTTTAACCCCTTAATGCCGAGCGCCTGACAGGGTTAACAACAAGTACCATCTTTTAACGTCTTTTGGTATGACGCGGCTGGGGATCGAACCCCGGACCTTCCGCTCTCCGGGCGAACGCTCTACCATTAGACCACGGAGGCGGTCTATTAATCTTAGATGTGTTCCAGACACTTTATATTGTTGCATCACAACAACATCTACCCTAATTTCTATTCATCCCGACAGCTATTGGGCAAGCATAACATTGCTTCCTAATCATGTTTACAGATTGAAGAGGTTCCAGAAATGGAGAAAGAAGACACCATTATATCCCTTTCCCATTTCTACAACATGGAACATAGCTCTTGTTCCAGAGCCTCAGAGGATATCGAGATGACTCTCCCCATCCCGAGTGGGTACACGGGCGACGGGGAGATGGTGGTCCTGTCGAGGCCAGGGTCGGCGATCTCATCTGAAGGGGAAGAAGAACAAGAAGCGGAGGAGGCTGAGAGATGGGAGGTAATGGAGGCAAAGGTGGAACCTGATGAAGGCAGGGTCAGATTCAAGACAAACAACATGGGCATGTACGTGAACTATTCTTCTTTCAATGAATGAATGAATGAATGAATGAATGAATGAATTTGTTGCTGCTGCTTCTGCAGGAAACATGATATCACTGCGTGGGACATCAAGCATGGCCTTCACACATGGTACAGACAGACAGACAGACAGACAGACAGACAGACAGATAATTTATTTGAGTCTCACCTCGTTACATATATAATACATGGGGAAAAACTTTTCAAATATCTTAGTTAAAACCATATAAAGTAACGAGCCACACCCTACAGAGTAATGAGAGACTATAGAAAATTGGTAAAAACATGTATACAATTTCACATATATTACACACGATAAAAATGACTGTACCTGACTATTCACAAAAGAGAATAATCTATAGTACAACATGGTGCAGAGCATCCGATCTGGTTGTTAAAATATTCTTGCAGATCTTGGCAGTTGTAAAAAACAATTCTGGGCTGGATAGTATAACTACATAAATCACGAAAACTTCCAAAATCAGAACATACGTAACGACGTTTGGAAGAAAAGGTAAAATCTAAGACCCCCATTGTGTGAACAATATAATAAAACATGCCTTTCATCATCTATTTCATCCGTACAAAACGGGGAGGTTCTCTCTGCAAGAGGTGTATTGGTATAGCGTCGGGTCTCAACTCTTAGCGGTGCTACACCACATCTAAACCTTGACAGGGCGCTTCTTAGAGTTCTAGGGGGACTTTTGTGTACATATGCTTCAAGACTGTAATTATCCTTATAGGTGCAGTAAGTTCTTAATGTATTGCTACCTGTCCTACCTTTGCTGTTCGGTAATTCCACAGCTGTCCTCCACTCTTCTTTAAATTCTTTAAACATTCTGCATTGCACTTGACACATATTTACTACCGTATCTGTTGTCAATGGTACATGTGTGTGGAATTGAATCTCGTCTTTAACATCACCAGCGAGCGCTTTAATCCACCAAGCTTCATCAACCCTTATTATTCTCTTTGGTTTTATCATGAGGCGATTATACCAAACAAGTTTTTTTTGCTTTTTGTTTAACGGCACACTCAGCAATATTTCAGCGATATGGCGGTGGTTTGTAAATAATCGAGTCTGAACCAAACAAGCCAATGATTGACATCATGAGCATATATCTTCGTAATTGGGATTAGCATATAGTGCTGAAGACCAATTCTAACCCGGATCTTCACGGGGAGGTATGGTAGTTGAGGTACAACGTAGGTGTGTAACGAATGGCGATTGTTGTGTAGCTTTTAGAACAACGGATTAAGTATTAAGGGTATTCTAAAAAAAGAATATTGTGTGTAGAGGTACATGTGCAAGGATTACGTTCCATTGTATATAGCTTCACAAACTTAGTGCTTTAAACCATTTTCAGTTTTAGAGACGAGATTTGTCACTCTTCCATCATGTGTATAAGTAATATATTTTAATCCACAGTAACGCACCAGTTGAAGTTGAGAAAGGTGCAAACAGAGAAGACATCCGAACACAGACTGCAAACATATACTCGAAGAGAAAAGACTGCCATGTGAAATTTCTGGTTGTTGGGAAAGTCCTTGGTTTTAACCAATTTGACATTGTGGTAGAGTGTCTAAAACCAGATCAGATATATCTCCGTCTTGATGAGTGGAAGAAGGAATCGTACACACGACTGAGAGTCAGTGGAGACTTTCCCTCTAAAATGAACCAAAAATATCGCCTTGAGCTCCAGGGAAATTTGAAGTGTTTATACAGACTCAGTGATCTTCATCTCGAACTCCTGCCTGGGCAAATGAGTCACCAGAGCCTTCTTGTGGAAATCCAAAATGTAAGCGATGCCCCAAATGGAAGCATTGCGGTTCACATGGTGGGGCACAATGGAGTGAGCGTTGTTACACAGCTGCCTCTTCTGTTGGGAGAACAACTGCAAGAATCTTCACAAGCAGCTCGAGAGGACAATGAGAATACTGCACGTAAAACTTCTGGAACAAATCGACCTCGAGTTCCTGACAAAGGAAATGTTAGGTCCAGAATACCAAGAAGAATTAAGTCATACCCAGGTGAGAATGGAACGACGGTAATGGATGATAACATGGAAAGACCATTTGAGATATATGAAACCACTGATGACCTACTTCCTCATGATGGTAAGCCTCATCAGCCTCTAAACCAACAACACATGGGTTTGCATTCTGGTTTGGATGTTCCAGATGCAATGCCAGGACTGTCAAGTAATGAAGGCACAGCCCCCATCAGGCAAAGCAAAGTCAGTTCCCACACCCGTTACACACAGAGAACGGGAAGGTTTGACCACCATGTAGTGTATGATAGGGATCAGTCAGGAAGACCTATGGACTCGAGGCGATCTAGTATCCAGCCCAATGCAAATAGCAGACGTTTATCGAACGCCTCGGGAGTGAGTCTGCCTGCTGGGGTTGGTGTTACCCTTGGTGGTGCTGCAGCCAGTGAGGACGGAGACGTACAAAGTGTTTATGAAGGCTATAGTGGGAGTGAAGGTGTACGTGGGCGCATCACTGAGTCGAGGACGTCGTCCCTAGCTCAGCATATTCTCAGCACAGCTCCTGCATCGGAGGACCCTGAGTCGCTGCCTATAGAGGAAGGTAAGTGTCGAAATAATGGATTAGAGTCACCCACTTATCTTCAGGGAGATTTAGGTTTAGATTGAAGACGATGTACTTTTTTCGTTAAAAGTATCAATTTGAAGTTTGAAGTACTGGGACAAACATGTTATGTGTTCATCACCGCACAAGATTTCTTCATCAAATTTGTTTGTTTGCTTGTTGTTTAACGTCGTAAGCTATATGACAGTTATTTGACGGCGGTCTGTAAATAATCGAGTCTTGACCAGACAATCTAGTGGTTGATATCATGACCATCGATCCACGTATTTGGGATCGATGACATGCATCAACCAAGTCAGCGAGCCTGACCACCTGATCCCGATAGTCGCCTTTTACGACAAGCATAGTCGCCTTTTACGGCAAGGGAAAGTTAGCCATTGGGAAGTTGAAATCATCCTCCCTGTCATACAGTCTTGTGGAAAGCTTGTTTTGCCACTCTGAATCTCTATGCAAATATCTAAATATGAAACAGATGAGGCGGTTTCACTGGTCTCTTTTTATTTCTAGTGGTGGGAAAACCACTGGAAGGTAATAATTGGCTATTTGACCATTATTGTTTGTTTGTTGTTTAACGCCGCACACAACAATATTCCAGCTGTATGACGGCGATCTTTAAATAATCGTGTTTGGTCAAGGCAATCATGTGATTCACATGACAAACATATATCTACGGAATATGGATACGATGACATGCATCAGCCAAATCAGCGAGCCTGACCATCCGATCCCGTTAGTCGCATCCAAAGACTATCATAGGTTGCTGAAGACCAACCCGGTCACTGGTCTGACCATTATATAACGATATCAGATCATCGATATACCCGAAGCTTAAGTTAAACTTCCTGGCCGTATGGCGAGCAACAATTTCGATTCATATGCTTAAAGAAACAGATTGGCAAGGTGAGCACTAGTGATGTATGTAACAGATGCCAAATATGGATTGATGTTTGACCATGCAAATGAAAATTATTTGCTCCCAACACAACTTTTGGTACCATATTATTACACCTGGATTGGACCTAGTAGGTTACCTTAAGGCACATGCTTCCTGGACATTCGAATGAGTTCTTCGGGATGTTTATTTTCACCCTTTTATCTAGTGCGTACACAAGCCTGCACCCATCAACTGGTACTTCTCTCTGTGTTTCCTTCGGCCTGGTGCACAATACAAACCATCCACGCGATCCGACACTGATCTGAGAGGTTGCTTCCCAGCGTTGCTGAAATACAGCGACCGAATCAAGAATCATGTTTGGAAGATACAATGAGAAACATTTCCAGTAGACAGCTCATCACTGGGAATGATTCGTTTGTTTGGTTTTTGTTTATGGCCACACTCAGCAATATTCCATCTTTTTTAAGGCTGTAAGAAATGGAGTCTTGATCAGATAGTTCAGTGATTGACATTATGAACATCGATCTACGGAACTCGGATTCGATAATATGCATCAACCAAGTCAGCGTGCATGGGTTGCTGAAGATCAGTTCTAAACCGTATCTTCTCGGGGTACTGGAATTTTAATGTTAACTGTCTAATATGCTGCGATAATGTTTAGAGGAATAACAAATATGCGGGAAAAGTACGTTTTTATATCAACTGAAAATGTGATATGTTCATTATTGTACGCTGTAAACTGTTAATTTTCACTTTTACCTCCTCTGGTATGAACAATGTTTCAACCAGCGCCTCCTCCTGTGTATGTCCGAATGTTGCATATTTTAAAACAAGCTCAGCATACCGACCAGGTCCATCTTGTAAATGGAAGACTATTGTTAAACCAATAGTGGTAGTGGATATGCACCATTCGACGAGGTCTCCCCAAAATGCTTCATTCATCTTTGCAACTAGTCCGTGGGGATTATCTTCTGGCTCAGAGTAAGATAGTCGTAAGAAGGTCTTTGGAGCTCCTACTCTTGTTGTCAGGTCTAAACTTACTTCCATGTTTCTGAGAACCTTCTCTTTACAGTTCCTTGTCTCAACATATGTTGTGTTCCTGTAAAAGACATCATTGCCACTCGTCGTGAACGGAACACCAATTGTATATCTTATCTTAAGCACATATCCTCACATAAACAGCTGTAGTTCTAAACCGCACTGGAACATTTCATACGGCCATGTGCACTATTGCAGGTCTCAGACGTTTACCACGAGCATGGATATGGTGGATTTCTGGCGTGCCAAAGGGACGTGTCTTTTCACTCCAGCAAATACTAGTAGATGTTGGTGTAAACTTGTGTTAACACTCAGTGGCGATGAATAGGAAAACATAGCGGACATAAAACGCTTCCTTTAACTCGAATAATTTGATTTATGGGGTGGAACAAAAACTTGAAGCTAGTTACCTTGTATTCCGTTTGATAGGACACATGGCATCTCGTGGCATGAAGTTAAGCACCTTTACTATTTCTGACATGCTTACCATTCAATATCGTTGGATGTATGCTTTCAATATACCTGTAATCACCAGGTAGGGTGATCAATCCCTGTTCTGCGAAATCGTTTACAATAGCGGAGAGGTCCTGTGCAAATATAACTATTTTCACATTCTATTGACTCATCATTCTCCAGTTCATTGCAATTATGTCTAGTTTATTTGTTGTTTAACGCTGCACTCAGCAATATTAGAGCTATATAATCGAATCTGGACCGGACAATACAGTGATTGACATCATACCCATCTATCTAGGCAAATGGGATACGATGACATGCATCAACCAAGTCAGCGAGCCTGACCACCCGATCCCGTTAGTCGCCTCTTCATCAAAAATGAAAAAGTGTGGTGGTGTTTAATTTTACTGAAGATCGACATCATGAACTTTACAACAAGTGCTGTTAAATTGAATATTTGTTTTCATTTCCATTAGGGATTTAATATATGGACCGAAAAGACAATTCGAGGAGAGACTTTCCTTTTTACCTATATTTCATTTCATTAATTACGGCACCAAACTACCCCGTGGTGTCTTCAATTTCAGTTAACAAACTGACATACTTGTGAAACCATATAAATGAACACTTTTAGTAATTGCAGCTATAAATACATCTATATCATCACATTTACGTTTACTTTTGATAAAAGCTTAAAGCATTTGTAGCTGTGCACAGGTTTCGTTTGAGTAGAGGTATACCATAGTGTACTGTAAAATGTGTTCATCTTTAAGGTAGTGGTAGAGCGTCCGCCCGGAGAGCGGAAGGTCCGGGGTTCGATCCCCGGCCGCGTCATACCGAAAAAAGACGGTACTTGTTGTTACCCTGCCTGGCGCTAGGCATTAAGGGGCTAAAACAAGGACTGGTCGTCTCGGAGTCAGTATACTGTGTCTGAGTGGGATATTCATGTTAAACTGCGGCATAGTATCTCAGTGCCGCACTATAAATCGGCATCAGTCCGGACTAGTACAAACAGCCACACAAACACACACATGTACATGCACGTCGCTATATAAGTTCAATAATCTTGGACGCGACGTTAAACCCCATTTCATCTCACCTCACCTCATCTTTAAGGGTCGGTGGGATAACCTACTGGATAAAGCATTCGCTCATCATGAAGAAGACCTGGGTTCCATTCCAGACATGGGTACAATGTGTGGAGCCCATTACTGGGGTCCCCCACCGTGATATTTCTGGAATACTGCAGATTCCACTGACCACCAATTCATAAACCCTTTTATTACAGGTATCAGCGCTCCTGTATCCAACAGTTTCCTTGCAAGCTTAGTAAAGGTCATGTCACCGGATTTGTTGCTGTTTGTTCAACTTGGATTACATGATCGCGAGATCCAGAAAATAAGGAAGGACACAGCCACCACAGACATTGAATATACCATGTTTGTGGTAAGTTATTGCAATATAATGCACATGTGTATAGGCTCGTCATATTGAATATACCATGTTCGTGGTAAGTTATTGCAATACAACGCAGTTGTGTATTGGCTCGTCAAATTGAATATACCATGTGTGTGGTAAGTTATTGCAATACAGCGCAGTTGTGTAAAGGCTCGTTACATGAAACATACCATGTTTGGTGAAAGTTATAATACTACAATATAGTTGCGGATAGACTTGTTACATTGAATATACCATGTTTGTGGAAGGTTATAATAATACAATGCAGTTTCGTATAGGCTCGTTACATTGAATATACCATGTTTGTGGTAGGTTATAATAGGACAATGCAGTTTCGTATAGGCTCGTATATTGAATATACCATGTTGTGGTAGGTTATAATTATACAATGTAGTACTTATAGGCTCGTTACATTGAATATACCATGTTGTGGTAGGTTATAATTATACAATGTAGTTACGTATAGGCTCGTTACATTCAATATACCATTGTGTGGTAGGTTGTAATTTTACAATGTAGTTACGTATAGGCTCGTTACATTCAATATACCATGGTGGGGTAGATTATAATTATACAATGTAGTTACGTATAGGCTCGTTACATTCAATATACCATGGTGGGGTAGGTTATAATTATACAATGTAGTTACGTATAGGCCCGTTACATTCAATATACCATGTTTGTGGAAGGTTATTATACAATGCAGTTGCGTAAAGGCTTGCTACATTGAATATACCATGTTTGTGGAAGGTTATAATAATACAATGCAGTTGCGAAAAGGCTCGTCACATTGAACATACCACGTTTGTGTAAGGTTATAATACTACAATGTAGTTGTGTATGGGCGTATCGTTAACGTCAGATAATCGTTTGTGGCCATAAGCAATAAGCTTGAGAGCGGCGTAAGAATCTACACCGATACGTCGCTAATGCAATAAACCAGAAGTTGTTAACCATAAAGTTGTACGTACATATTAACTCATCAACTTCTAGAATGCCAATCAAATACTGTGCCTATAAGGATCTGACCCCTGGGGATTCACAGGACGTAGTGGTCCCTTTAAACCCTGGGGGCACTAACGCGGCCTCTAACTCATACGCTAAAAATAAATTTCATCACATGTTAAAATGTTAAATTAACCTATTCATACTTGAATACATTGGGTGGAAGAACCCATCAGTGAAAGGTTGTTTTTAACCAATAGGTGTAGAATAAGGAATATAGTTAACATTCTGCTACTTTAACGATTATGTTTTCAGATGTTGGACAAGTGTCGTGAGAAGCGAGGAGACAATGCTGCATTCCTACATATGCTGCTTTTAGCCCTGGAAGACTTCCAACAGAATGATACCAAACAGTGGGTCGTGAACCGTATCAATCGATGGTAATTGTGGAATTTCTTGTCAGTATTTACTTCAGCGGAGGTGGTGCAATTTAAAAGGATCTGTCACATTTGATTTCGTTCCACCCTTTATTTGTAAGTGACAAATACCAATATCCAAAAGATAATAGCTGCCTTTAGCAGATATTTGTGCAAGATATTTTTCGCTTTTATTTATGATTATGGAAATGGTTTTGTGTCTTTTATCGTATACGAGAATTTCATATTGACATATAGACCCATCATCAATTATACATGTTATAAAAACACATTATATATTTCAGGCTAGACACGTGTCCCTCTGGAGATCAAGTCTTTGTTCGAAAGGTTCACTCCATTGCCCGTCGCTTTCGAGAAGCCTAACATTTTAGGAATCACTTTGAACTCTGAATCGCATTGAGTATCACAAGTACAGAAGCCGCCATCTTTACGAAACCAAATGCAATCTGCATATTAATACTGAGATACGGTTAACTGGGACAATGATTGAAGATATTTATTTACCTCGCATTTATCCATAAGAGTTTTCTTAGAAAATACAACATATTCTACATAATAGTAATACTGATTATGAGTACAAAAAAAGTCCATTTATGATGCCCCAAATTCCATTCACCAGTGACCCGTGAAGATCCGGGGTAGAATAGGTCTTCAGCAACTCGTGCTTGCCGTAAAATGCGACTATGCTTGTCGTAAGAGGCGACTAACGGGATTGGGTGGCCGGCTCGATTACTTGGTTGATGCATGTCATCGTATCCCAATTGCGTGGATCGATGCCCATGATGTCAATCCAGACTCGATTATTTACAGACCGCCGTCATATAGCTGGAATATTGCTGAGTGCGGCGTTAAACAAACACACAAAGAAACACACAAACAAACTTATAGCAATTTTTTTGGTATTGCCTCAATTATTATCACTTGCTCTCTACATATGCGGGGCGGTGGGGTAGCCTAGTGGTTAAAGCGTTTGCTTATCATGAAGAAAACGCGGGTTCGATTCCCAAAATGGATACAATGTGTGAAGCCCTTTTCTGGTATCCCCCGCAGTGATCTTGCTGGAATATTGCTTTAAGCAACGTAAATTACATATGCCGACGCTGATAAGAAGATATATGTTAAACGATAATGTGTTTGTACATGCACCTAGATCTTTTCTTACATCATTTATTATATATGTAAACATATTACAACATAATAAATATATTTATTTTGTAATTTAAGGAATGTCATGTGTGATAAATAGATCAAACATTGCCATGTCTGGAGACAAAAAGTATTTATATTTTATATGGTCATTAATTGTGGGATATATTGGACAATTTCACATTCGTGTGATGGATGATCAGCAAATCTATCGACTACAATAATGTGTTTTACACCCCGCTGATTAATTTTGGATAATGTGGAAGGAACTACAGATCAGAATTTTGAGAGCTTTTCATTCGAATGTTATTCTTTTTCAAATCGATATTTGCGAAAGGTCGCGAATTCTTTCGAAAAGCGATCGTAACCATCGATTTCACCATCGATACTCACTTTTAATACCACATTCGCCGTAAACGCAGAAAAACGAATACGTGAACCTCGTCATTTCTTCTTAGCGATGGTCAAATCGATCATCGCGACGAACTTTAAAACACCATGTTCGAACTCATTTAAGATTATGACCAGTTAGATCAATGTGTAAAATTTCATTTCTCTAAAGTAGTTTTTGAGAAAAGTTGTCCACATTGCGGAGCGGACTGACGGACGAACTCCGTTCCTATATCCCCGCCCCACTTCGTGATTTCACGTGCCACATAACATTATTAACATAAGACGGACATCGTGGTCAACGACATTTACTCTCATACGCCACAGGAGCGGTCGGGTAGCCCAGTGGTTTAAGCGTTCGCTCGTCATGAAGAAAACCCGGGTTCGATTCCCGACGTGGGTACATGTGTGAAACCCATTTCTGGTGTCCCCCGCCGTGTTGTTGCTGGAATATTGCTAAAAGCGGCGTAAAACCATACTCACTCACTCACACGCCATACAGTCTGTACTTGTTGACATCATATGTATCCTGTTAGCTTCTCGGAACAGTTCTCTCTATATCATACACTACCTCTTCGACAGCTGATTATTGAGTATGGATAATAAAGAGGGTACTGCGTTGGTTTTTGCGTCATTCTTTCCTGTCAGAGTTCCAGCATTTTCCTTTTTTCGTAAAAATGATGTGACACCCTGTAATGCCTATATATTGCGATAAGCAGCAACACGTCGTCGGACAGTGTCCCACAGTGTTCTATTATTTTCAATGCAATGCGTTATCTGCTGGCATGATAGGTTTACATCTTCTACTTTTTATCCAACTGACTGCCCTAAAGAAATCCCTGTACGTATTATAAGTAACCATTCTGTTATATACCCGCAAGTAACAAAAGATGAGTGTTCGAAATTAATTCATGTGTAATGCACCTGAAGATAATCGAAGATGTGTGCGGGCTGGACTTACCAAGTACCGTATTCGACCTAATAAGCGCCCAGGGCGCTTTCAAAATTAGAAATAGGATGCTCATATTAGAATAAAGTTTTGGTGAGAAAAAAACACAGAGTTGAAAGATCGTAAATTCCGTGGTTTATGCTGACAGCCTGAATGATATTACAGAAAAATCTGTGCGTATTATACACGACAGATATAGTTTTCCAGAATTTAATTGCCCATAATTAAGGGTGCCTATAACACACGAGTGAGTATTATACACGAATAAATAAGTCTTGTGTACATTAATCAATCGGAAGGGGTGCTAATTAGGATTGTTCACTAGCCATGCAAGATATTAGCAAATATCGCCGTGGGCGCTTATTAGACCGGGGCGCTTATTACGTCGAATACGGTAAGTACATTTTGCGTGTTGTGTTGATATTGGAAGCAGCGGTCCACGCCGTCGGGTGACAATGACACACAATCGGTCAATCCACCGAGTCAAACCACCTGATCGACGAGCTCGCCTCATAAGAACAACAGGTTACAGGGGTCAGTTCTAGTCCCGGAATCGCACTGTTGCGGCCTGTACGCTGTGAGTAAGCTCGAGCTTCTCTACTTATTCACACAACCATAAATGTAATTAATCTATTATCTGACGTTAGGAGTTGGCAAACAGCAGACTAATAGTCTAGGCTGAGATAACCCCACGTCTATCACACACCACTTATACCTCATGCTGAGATTTGTATTGCTTCAGTTAACATAAGAAATATAGTTGTAAGCGCATAACGCAAAGGAACGTTCAAACCCATCTGACAAGATCTAAAATAAACTGTTTTGGATATCACGATTACCAACTCGTTGTCTGTTTATAACAACCCATTCTTGTCGATCATGCTGTGTACCTAAGTGGGTTGACGGTCATTTTAACAGGTAGGATTTATATAAATTTTGCAGCTAACTAGTCCTTTTGAAACACATTTATTCTATAAAAAGTGCATAATATGTTACGATAATTGCTGAACCTACACAAAATACCTCATTTTTTAAATAATGAGTTCTTCGTTTTGAAAATTTTAGTTTTAAGTACCTGGCATGGATTTGTATCGCACACCTGACTGAAGGTGAAGTGAGCATCTCCAAAGACCACGTGACCAATGAAGCTTAAACTTGACATTCTTGTCCCATCAAACATACCAAACTGTCCAAGGCGTTAGAATACGGCAGCCATATTGAACGCCCTACTTACAGCTATTACTCAGCCATTTTTGTTCTAACTGGAATGACATTTCGTACATATCTGGTTAGTAGTGGGTCTCAACCTATCTGTTCCGTTTTTAGCGAAATTTTAAATTTTGACTTTTATTTGAACTTTTTATTTCGACCATACTGAAAACTGAAACGTTTTGTTTTGTTCAATATGTAATGACATTTGGAATGTGTCGTGGAACTCAACATAAGTGTTCTGTTTTTCAAAATATGTTTAAGCACTTGGACTTTTGCACATTTACCATGACATTAAATCACTTAAAATGCATTGTCTGGTACCTTGAATGTCGTATCCCCTGAATCCACTAGACCAATGATGTTGTGCCTCCATGCTCATGATGATACATAAAGAATCTCATCCGAGTGTCTTTTGATATCAAATATATCAACACGAGTTGATAAAAGTGGAAAAATTCCGAGGCTTGCCGAGGATTTTTGCCACTTTTATCAACGAGTGCTGATATATTTGATATCAAAAGACACGAGGGTGAGATTTTATTTACCATCCAACATCTTTTTTCAACTTTTTCAATTTGTAGACAGTAATGAGCAGTGTTTTCAGTGTAAAAAGTACTGCAAACAGCTTCAGTAGCAGAGCCATTAGTGATGTCATTTGATTGTGACGTCATGGTAACAAGTGACGTCACAATGGTCTCCAAAGCATTGTGATGTCATTTCATTGCAGTGATATCTACAGTGTAGATATCGCTTGATCTCATCCAAGCGATATCTCCTTTGGGAGCCAGTTTTGGATGATAAAACTCGGCAGCCACATTATCAAAAAAGATATTTATGGCCGTCACTGCCATGTTTGTTTGTTTTACCGAGTTTTATTATCTAATTGAAATATGAAAGAGCTGTTTAAAATTTGATTTTGATTATATATCCAACACTCTTTCCTGCAACAGTTTGTAATAAATCATCTGTGGCTAGGTCAGTTTGTGTAAAAATAAATTCGTTCATTGGAGAATGGAGTAAGAAATGAATTTGCAACCACATGACCCCTACCATGTTTGAAATGTTGTAAATTTGTGCCGCAAAAAACAAATTTGTTGATTTTCAAAGATGACATGTCTAAACTACCCACTAGCAGATGTGTATAATGCGCAATTGTTCATAAATATTTTTTCAAACTTTTAAATCAAATTATATTATAAAAAAACAAACCATGTAGAACTATTCTTTGAGTGCTAGTTTAGAGCCAGTACAGTTAAAAGTTTGGATGTAATATCGCTAAATTAGATATTTTCAATTGAAATTCAAACACATAATAAGTGAAATGTATAGTTCCTTTTACTCCTTTTGCTGCTAAGTTCTCGTAAGGTGCATTTCGTCGCACTGTAAACATAATCTTCTCAGAAACTACAAGACTTCACATGCTTGTTATTACCAGAGAAGGCAGCTGAATTTGTTCAATAGATTAGAAACTAATTATTAACATGGCGGCCACGACGACAAAAGTAGTAGGACAAAACACAATGTCATATGATCCGTTTTGTTTTGCATTTAGTGAGTGAGTGAGTGAGTGGGTTGGGTTTAACGCCGCTTTTGACAGTATTCCAGTTATATCACGGCGTGTCAGCTTAATGTGGGAGGAAAGCCCGAAGTGATGCATGTCTCAGACCACTTCGGTGAAACCCAGGAGCACGGGTATGGTGCTGACAAACCTAGAAACATAATCTGGGCGAACCGGGATTCTAACTTGAAATGGGCGGATCAATGCGCGCTGCGACAACTACTGACATGTAGAGACGGAGCCAAGCTAAAGAGTTATCCTGTTGCACCTTCGTTCAAAAACGGTCGTTTACAACTGAATATTTTTAACTAGCACATATTTTGTAGTGATTGTTAGTTTATAATATCAACATTTGTTGAGTCTTCAACTACAAGATGAATTGTCACTTTGGAATATAGCGGGAAAAACGTCATGAAAAATGGTACATTCTCACGTTTATTTTCTACGTCAGAAAACAGCGAGGCATTCTGTCAGTCTGGGCTAACATATAATTGCATCGATGAAATAATGCAAACTCATTTTATTTATCAGCCTTTGTGTTATTTCCCACAACAATTCAAGCATTCAAATCTCAACAAATACTACCACGGACTTCAATTTAATAAAATTAGTGATACGCCAACATTTGCAGCACACAGACATCTTTGACAGGCCTTTACCAATGATCTATATAGTAAGTATACATCCGTGCCTTTACAAATATTTTAGAAGAAATAACGTTCAAAATAATAAAACATCTGATTTTTAATGTTACTTTTTATATCAAAATTAAAGTTGCATCTGAATATTTAAATTTATATATTTTTTTTTTAGAAATAGGCCAAATGATCATCTACCATGCATCGATTAAGCACTCAGTTACTCAGTTGCAATATACATACCAGTCATCATACAATGAAATAAGAGATTTACCTATATTATTCTGCCCCTTATAACATGTGTCCCACCATTAAGTGTTCTGAGTCATTACAGGTGTTAATTCATTGATCATCATTTCTTACAGAATTCTGATACTCATGCTCTTAAAATAGTAGTTAATTACAGAGATGTGTCCCAACAAACAACAAATCATACTGACTACCCCACAAAATGTGTATGATGCATAAATAGATCTAAATCATAGTTTTATCTTCTTGTTTTAGTAACATAACATTTATTTTATTGTTGACAAATTATTTCCCATACAAACCCACACACTATCCTGCTGTATCTACGTATCCTGATTTTCATTCAACAGTACTTCAAGACACCTCAGTATAAAGTATATTTTCTAGATATTATTATCATATAGCAAATATGAATTTTATATGAAAATATGAATATGAAAGTTTATCATCAAATCTTCTGATGGTTAAATAAATGCAAATTGAACCCCACAGTCAATTCATGTAGATAAATGGATATATTTATGTTATTTGTTTTTTGCATATAACAGATTATACTTACATATGTTACAGTCAGGCCCAATATGTTTTTTTACTGTAAATTTCAGTTAATATGCATATTGACTGATTCACTCAGGTAAGGTATATTTTTTCTTAAATTTTCATTCATTTATTATTGCCTGAAAAATAGGACCGGATTTTAGACAGACTGGCTGAAATGAATAAGACTGCATAATTTAATCTCCTCAATTTAATTTGGACCTATTATGATCTTATCAAGATCAAAGTATCTTATGTAAGAAATTAAAATTGTTTCCACAATGAATTGATTGATTCTCCTAACCTGAAAGAATACCAGTCCCTTTGTTATGTTACTTATCTTTATTTATTAGCATATATGATATTCAGTTCAGAAACAGATGAGAGCTAAAAAGTCATGCATGTGTAATCAAATACTAGTACACATGCACAAGTGTGCCAAGATATTAAATAGAATCATAAGAGTCATTGTGCAATGCAGATATCTTTTGGTGTGAAGAGAAAAAAGAAAAACATTAATAATTTTTTTATGTTGGCATTTGAAACTCAGGAATCCGTTTAGAACAAGGAAACATAAAAAGCAAGGCCTAATGAAGTAAAGAATCAGCTTTATCTGTGTCACAATCATATGATTATTGTCAATGCAAACTGGATGTAGACACTGCATTGTTAATACAATTACATTATAGAGATTGGCAATTAGTATGAATATATTGTTTTATTTTATAAAAATTGTAGTTGGTACAAATACTCTTGAATATGTATTTTAACTAGTATGTAGGGTCCTCTGTGTCTGAATTTATTTATTTTTTACTTTGTAAAATTAAAAAAAGGCCAAAATAATATATATCTTTCATTGATCATATTGAAATATAATCATGGTTGTATTTGGCAACAAACAGCCACCATTCATATACATAAAATCCTTGTTTTCAACATGCACCAATTAACCCTTAAATATCAAAACAGTGATTTCCATTTTTTTTATTTTGAACATTGAATCATGATATCTAGTTGATGACGTAATTTTACAGTGCCTGTTACTCTTACAATTTCTTGAAAACATTTCTCATTGCTCTCTGTTATATATCTGACAAATGCTTAGGCCTACATGTGTTGCTGTCAATATTCACAACATTGAGGCTACGGGCAACGTTGCATGTGAGCTTCACATTTGTCACATGTCGTTGTACATACTGAAATGTATGCATATGATGTAGCCTGCTCGGCGATGCTACAACATAGATATAGGAACGTAAACAAAATCTACTTAATTTTCATATTCATACATCAAGGGCAACGCTTTCAGTACCGATTGCAAAACGTCAACAAAGCGACCTGGGATGAACGATCAGCTGATCTCACCGCATCGCTTCGAACGCCTATCTAGTGGATAACTATACAATACATTCAGTCGTGGTCATCCCTGATGTATCATTAATTCAAGGAACATTTATTTCCGGACATGGCAATAGATAAATCATTGTTTAAGCGAAAAGAATATGCTGTCCACACACAAGCGTGACGTTGCCGACAGAGGTGAAGCTTATACTAGTTAACTGTCTATAGGCGTCATAGTAACATGTAGTGCTCGTATCGCGCATACCACATGCGGCGTCAGTTAAGGTTGGACCGTCCGGGTTAGCGCACCTAGCGGGTTAGTGAAGGGAAGATAAATTGAAAAAGATCGCCCATTGCCAGACTGAGGGAAAGGACAGATACACTCTCTTTTAATTTTCTCTTTAAGCATTCAGAATAGTGACATTGGAACTGCTTGTGAATGGTATCAATACATGAGGTAATACTGTTGTCAAAAATAGGACGCTTTGATATTCAGCTAGATTTAAGCATATAACAGCAGCTAACACCAAATGGGACATTGAATCGTGTTACGAGTGTCAGCCTGCCCAATACCACCTTGCAGGATAAACTGAACGTTTCCTGGTTCAGATTGTATTCAATAATACAATAATACATTATCTTTCAGTTATGCACAAGCAAAGCCGAAGAAAAGACGATGAACTCATGTCAACAAAAATGAAGAACTGTTTTGTGAAGTTCTTTGTTGTTGGGAAGGTAACTGGGCCCAATCGGTGGGAAGTTATCGTAGGATGCCTAGAACCAAATGAAATTTATCTTTGTCTAGACGATTGGAAAAGTAAATCATTCGTCACTCTGGCTGTGAGTGGGCAGTTTGCTTCGCAGGAGAGGCAAAGCTATCGTTTTCAGGTAAAGGGACTGTTAAAGTTTCCTGAAGAATATAATGACCATCTTGAACTGTTGCCAGGAGAAACAAGTTATCAGAGCATTCTTGTTGAAGTATCACAATCCATCGATGCAGCACCATTAGGGCGCATTAACATTTATGCAGAAGGCGATCAGATGTCGCGTCTTGTGACGGAGCTACCTCTTCCGTTGACAGCAGGCATGGAGGCGTCTCTCAGGATTGAAGCTGCTTCGCATCAAGAAAGTAAGATAAGTGTGCATATGACATATATATATATATATATATATATATATATATATATATATATATATATATATATATATATATATTTATATATACAGCATTCCAGTTATATCGCGGCGTGTCAGCTTAATGTGGGAGGAAAGCCCAAGTGATGCAGGTCTCAGACGTTTACAGCTTCGGTGAAACCCACGAGCACGGGTATGGAGCTGATAAACCTAGAAACATAATCGGGGCGAACCGGGATTCGAACCCACAATCATTGGGTTCTGGCGTGCCCGAGGGCTGCAGCTCTGCGCCTTAGACGACTGGACCCCCGTGCCCCCGAAGTTTCTGAAAGTTTCCTCAATTATGTAGTATTGGATGAAATGGTCTGATACTTTTTGTGGACGATTTTAACCCTTGTAAAGTTCTTACAGGGATATGTACTTCCTGCTATTCAAATAAAAACGAAATTTAAAACCTCCCCGGGATACATAAATAATGTCCCGTGAAAGATATTTAACTGCCTTGTGTATTGCAACAATGTCGTACGTTATTAAATGTAACATCCATTGTGGTTGAAAATTACACGTAGCTACATGTTTCAATATTTATCCAGAAAGCATTTTACCATCAATACCGCTAGCAAAGTGAGAAGTGGCTGTATTATATTAAACTCTGCTTTGAAGAAATCGTATACACGATAAATATTGTATTCATTGCAGCCAACTATGAAACAAGGTTGCAAACTAGTCTTTCAATATTTATCCAGAAAATATGTATCAATACCGTTTGTAAAGTGATAAGCGGCTGTCTTGTTAATCATATCAAAATATATGACTGCATCTACGAGTAAGCTCCAGTACGTGACACAACTGTTATGTAGGTGTAATAGTAATGCTTGTTTTTTGGTGTATTACGCTGCACCCATCAACATTCCAGATACTAATATATGACGGTGTTGTGATGTTATGGAAATGACGAACCTTGAAAGTAAAAGGACACATGTACATAAACTGCATTGTGTGTCGAACTATCCCTGGCAGAAAGTGAATTACTTACCTCCTAGAGTGAGTATGGTTTTATGCCGCTTTTAGCAATATTCCAGCAATATCACGGCGGATGACACCAGAAATGGGCTTCACACATTGTACCCATGTCGGGAATTGAACCCGGGTCTTCGGCGTGACGAGCGAACGCTTTAACCACTAGGCTACCCGGCCGCCCCACCTCCTAGAATAATTCTAAATGCTGATTGCGTTAGGGTACATGGCATTCTTTTGATGTATTGAATTGATAGCAGTATACAACCAACAGGTGTCAAGAATGAAACAACCTTAATTATTTGGTTCCTGTGACGATATACGTTCTTGCAATTGCAGATAACACTGAGCAAGTTGTCAGCAGCTTCTTTGGCGGCGTGGTTAAGGAAATGTCACTTGACAACTCGTTATTTGAACAACTTGGTTTAAGTGACGCAGAGATGAAACGCATAAGGGATGACACAGCTGCTACTGATACAGAATACAGAATGTTTGTGGTGAGTACTTTCGCACACTTGGCCAATGATCAATGTGCATCCGTTTTGTCGAAGATTGTTTTACCATTTTATTGCGATGGTTTTAAAAAAAATGTTCACCTATTATTGAAACACTTGTCTCTACTGACTGTAACGTCAGATAAAGAATCATGATCCTTACAAAGTTTCTGCGCAGTAAGTATTTCTTAAACACGGACGCATCTGTTCACGTCCAAGTCCCAACAGTAACACCTATAGTTGGTAACTGTAGCGGAAACTATTCTTTAGTCCAGGTGTAGGCAGACTTGTGATGATCGATCAGTGGTCTCCGGCGCCGTGTTGTTCGTTGTGTTGGGGTATTGAAGTAAATATACCAACTGTTAGTTCGTATTGCGATTTTGAGTTAATACCATGTGAAGACGTTTAGAATATTGATACCATGTTCTTTCCGGAGCTCTCAGTGCACGTCTTACTCGTCGGCCATCTTGCGCGTCACCCAGATGATGAATACGTGACACTATAAATAACTCCATAAATAACAACCACTTTATTCTTTACATCGATTTTTCATGTTTATTATTATTAGATGACCCGTATTGAGTTTACATATATATATATATATATATATATATATATATATATATATATATATATATATATGTTTACATAAGGTTGGATTAATGTACAAAAATGACAATTTTATGACCATCCTGGATACGATATCAGCTGGCAACAAACCAAAATGTGGTGAAGAATGTAGTCAAGATGTTACACGATAAGATAGATACACTATCACGGTGGGGAAATACATTTGTCTATATTCTTTAGGCTACCCACCATGGCTAATGGTAATAAACATTTCTTAGAACACAGGGGGTGCAGATCAATAATGAACTGTAAAAATGATACATAATTATATAACCAAAATGAAAATGTTATCGTGTGAAGGAGCAAATCTGTGTCTCAGGGCGAAACTGTGTAGTTCCCACTTTTGTTTTGTTTTTATAAGAATTTTGTGGGGGATATCTTTTCAGAATGCGTTTTTCTAACATATACCACTAATTATAACAGGATATTTGAAATGAATACAGACCGCCATGACACACTGAGTGTTGGTGCCAAGGGATACCAAAGTTAACAGTTTATTATTAGAGGAAATTGACAGTGAATAATTGTGAACACCATTGAGATGGGATATGTCTTCACGATTTTTAAACCTTTCTTTCTCTGTGGGACGTCACCCAACCAGTTCATGCATGCTATGTCAAAGACGACCAGACTTGGCTAGAATCCGTGTTTATCTGTGACAAGTTCCAGCTGCTGACATTTTAGTGAACTTCTCCAGTGACGATGGGCATTTATATTCATAGTATTATAGTGAGTGAGTGAGTTAATATTTAACGTCACATCGGCTATATTACAGCCATATCGTGACGAGACAAAATTTGATATATGTAAACTGTATAAAATTCTGTCGACGAAGGACAGTAAAACAACTAGATTATCACAGGTATATGTTTAAAACTAGTACATAAACATAAAATATGACAATTCATAACATTACAACAGATAAAATTGGGCCATATATCACCAGCAACTAAAGTGAGGTCACCATACTGGGGACCACTGGGACTTACAGTACCTTTGCTACCTGCATGGACCCCAGCAGGATTTACACCATCCCTTTAGTCACTGGTGACCATTGGCAGGGTTTATCCGGAGATTTAAAACAAACAAATATTCTACGATTATAACACTGGCAGATATAAAATTACTTTGATTTATGTGGGCTTACATATCCTCTCAGGGGGACAATAATTTTACGCTACTTCAACCCCCTTCGAGGATATAGCCACTTAAATCTCAGTTAATAATCATATACTACCAATTTATAAAATATATATCTTTGTACATCAAAAATTATTAATTAATTCTATTTCTTTTAAAAAACCGATGATTAAAGGCGCATTTATTTGATTAAAAAGATCCGTTATTGATAACACTTTGAAATATTTATCCCTTGTGATGGAAAAATCAACACGGTCAAGCAAGACATGCTTGACAGTGAATCTTTCATCACAAGGGATACAGAATGGAGGATCCTCACCTTTCAGTATACATTCATGAGTATATCGTGAATGGCCAATACGACATCGTCGCATAATGACCTCATCAAATCTGGACTGACAACCAAAGTAGGTATAACCGATATTTGGTTTTATTGCATGTAATTTATTTATACCCACTTGGGTGTCCCACTTCTTCTGCATAAGATCTCTGAAGTAAGAACGGATAACAGGTTTATAGTCACTGTAGGGAAGAAGAAGTGGTGTCACAGATTTGTTGAGAGCTGCTTTTGCAGCAGCATCAGCCATTGTGTTACCAGTGATACCAACATGGCTGGGTAACCAACAAAAGACGATGTCGTACTGGCCAGTTGAAAGATCATTGTATAGTTCTAAAATACTTAAAATAAATGGATGACTTGAAGAGCTCGATTTTATTGCCTGTAGACAAGATAACGAATCAGAAAAGATGATGAATCCTTTACAGATGGACTGTTTTCTAATATATTCCAAAGCTGTTAATATTGCTTTGGCCTCTGCAGTGAAAATTGAGCTATGGTCTGATAATCGGGATGATATGGTTTTTGATCCAATTACAGTAGCACTTGCGACTGTTCATAGTATTATAGTTTGACAAATTGTAAACAAAATTGTAAAATAAATATATTATGTATTCAATGTGGGGAAAGGTCCGTGTAGGGAAATGTATAAGAAAGAATGAATTATGGTTTTACGTCAACATGGTGGTTACATCCTTACTTAAACTGAAAGTGATGACGAACATGTTGATAATTTAATTTTCAATTTTTTGTTTCCTTTTGTGATGGGAGGTGCCTGCAAACTGCTCAAACAACATCATTAGTTGAATACCTTGTTACTTTCTTTATTCATTTATATTCATTATATTTATTTAGTAGAAGTGGCATGGAAGTAGCTGTGTACTGGACCATTTTGTTGTTTGAAGCTGTAATTTTACCAGGCAAACAGACATATAGTTTATTTAAATATAACCTTAGGTACAGCTATAATATAAACTAGTTAAACAATTGCAAATGTACACAGCCAGGGACAGTATATATAGTGTGAAGCAATACATTTTTTCACATGAAAGTGTTTTATTTGACTTTATAAGTCCGTATTACTATTCATTTGTTTAGAAACAATATTTGCAAAACAAGATAAATATTCAAGATAAGAAGATGGTATGAAGATAACAATGCTTCAATCAACACCCTTGTCTGTGCTGTTCCATCAGTGAAAACAGGCAATTGTTGCAAGCACCTGAAGCGTGTACGCGCCGGAAGTTATAATCGCCTAAAAATCTACCGCTATGCGCATGCGAATCAAGGGCAGATAAGTATGTTTCTAATAGACCTTATAGAAGTCTTCTTCTTCGTGCAACTATAGGCCTTGACAGCTGCAATTACCTCGTCGTTACAGGCAAAAGCTCTACCACCACGCAGGTGGGATGATTATGTTAAACTTGATTTTCAGATGTTGTACCAATGTTGTGAAAGACAAAGAGATAAGGCAGCCTTTATAAGGAAGTTCCTCATCGCCCTCGCTAATGTCCAACAGAATAACGCCAAACGCTGCCTTGTTGAGAGCATCAAGCGCTGGTAAGTGTAAATGTGTGAAAATGGTGCAACAACTTTTGAGCAAGAGCCGTATTGCGCTCTTTGAAATCGTCGAAGAAAAGCATGTTCGATTTTAACTCAAAAGTTGTGAAATATAGACACCAAAAGCAGCAGCTACAGGAATATTGCTTGACATATTGACTATTTGAAAGTTGAAGACATCCCCCCTTGACTATCCTTGGATAGTATTTTTGTAGCTCTTAATCTCTATACATAGATCTAATAATGAAACAAATGAGTCGATGTCATTAGGTTTTATTTTGTTTCTTGTTCATCAGGGTAAGTCAGTGAAAGGGAAATAGATGTCTGACAGTTTTCGAACTATATCAGATCATCGATATACATGTATCTGAAGTTAAAGATTTTGCCAGTCTGAGCAGAAATTCAGATTTATGTTTCAAACAAAACAGCTCAGCAAGACGGAGAGCACAGCTGGTACCAACGGGGATGCCTACTATTTGTCCTGATTGTATTATAAATTTTCATTTTGATCTTATCAATGACTAAGTCCAGCGTTTTACAAATTTTTATCAGCAAACTTCAGATGACATTTGCTTTCATTTTTGACAAATTGTCCCGAACCTCTGAAGATGGACATAGGTATATAACTATTTGTATGGTAACCAAGTTTAGTAGCAAATGCTCCATGGATCAGGGAATAAAGTTTTCTCGTTTGTTATCGAGTGAGAAAGTGGTGTATCAAGTTGAAAAATCAAATGAACAATGTTCTTTACTGAGATCGGAATCATTCAGGCAAATCCTCGGCTTGGCATTAATTCCACTTGTCTCAAATACATTCTGTGGCTGTAAAGAAAATCCCTCATTGGTTGTATTAAGCATTATGGTTTCTCTTTGAGACATGGATTTGGTGGTACATTTGCTGGATCCAACAATGTATATCTCTTTGTAAGGATTTTATGGAACTTTGGAATCCAGTACAAAAGGAGAATGGACAAGTCTTCAGGTTTGAGAGCAGGTGACTCACCGTATAAGAAATTACGAACCTTACATTTTATTAGCCAGACATTCTCTATGATATTTCTCTGTTTTATAGTCAGGAACACATTTGCAGGATAATATATATTTCAGGTTAGCTGTTTCTACACCTGATGAAGATGATGGAATATTTGCACAGGAGCTCTCCGCTATTGTAAACGATTTCGCAGAACAGGGATTGATCACCCTACCTGGTGATTACAGGTATATTGATAGCATACATCCAACGATATTGAATGGTAAGCATGTCAGAAATAGTAAAGGTGCTTAACTTCATGCCACGAGATGCCATGTGTCCTATCAAACGGAATACAAGGTAACTAGCTTCAAGTTTTTGTTCCACCCCATAAATCAAATTATTCGAGTTGAAGGAAGCGTTTTATGTCCGCTATGTTTTCCTATTCATCGCCACTGAGTGTTAACACAAGTTTACACCAACATCTACTAGTATTTGCTGGACTGAAAAGACACGTCCCTTTGGCACGCCAGAAACCCAGCATATCCATGCTCGTGGTAAACGTCTGAGACCTGAAATAGTGCACATGGCCGTATGAAGTGTTCCAGTTCAGTTTAGAACTACAGCTGTTAATGTGCAAGATATGTGCTTAAAATAAGATATACAATTGGTGTTCCTTTCACGACGATTGGCAATGATGTCTTTTACAGGAACACAACATATGTTGAGACAAGGAACTGTAAAAAGAAGGTTCTCAGAAACATGAAAGTAAGTTTAGACATGACAACAAGAGTAGGAGCTCCAAAGACCTTCTTACGACTATCTTACTCTGAGCCAGAAGATAATCCCCACGGACAAGTTGCAAAGATGAATGAAGCATTTTGGGGAGACCTCGTCGAATGGTGCATATCCACTACCACTATTGGTTTAACAATAGTCTTCCATTTACAAGATGGACCTGGTCGGTATGCTGAGCTTGTTTTAAAATATGCAACATTCGGACATACACAGGAGGAGGCGCTGGTTGAAACATTGTTCATACCAGAGGAGGTAAATGTAAAAATTAACAGTTTACAGCGTACAATAATGAACATATCACATTTTCAGTTGATATAAAAACGTACTGAACCCGCATATTTGTTATTCCTCTAAACATTATCACAGCATATTAGACAGTTAACATTATAATTCCAGTACCCCGAGAAGATACGGTTTAGAACTGATCTTCAGCAACCCATGCACGCTGACTTGGTTGATGCATATTATCGAATCCGAGTTCCGTAGATCGATGTTCATAATGTCAATCACTGAACTATATGATCAAGACTCCATTTCTTACAGCCTTAAAAAAGATGGAATATTGCTGAGTGTGGCCATAAACAAAAACCAAACAAACGAATCATTCCCAGTGATGAGCTGTCTACTGGAAATGTTTCTCATTGTATCTTCCAAACATGATTCTTGATTCGGTCGCTGTATTTCAGCAACGCTGGGAAGCAACATCTCAGATCAGTGTCGGATCACGTGGATGGTTTGTATTGTGCACCAGGCCGAAGAAACACGGATAGAAGTACCAGTTGATGGGTGCACGCTTGTGTACGCACTAGATGAAAGGGTAAAAATAGTCATTCCGAAGAACGCATTCGAATGTCCAGGAAGCATGTGCCTTAAGGTAACCTACTAGGTCCAATCCAGGTGTAATAATATGGTACCAAAAGTTGTGTTGGGAGCAAATAATTTTCATTTGCATGGTCAAACATCAATCCATATTTGGCATCTGTTACATACATCACTAGTGCTCACCTTGCCAATCTGTTTCTTTAAGCATATGAATCGAAATTGTTGGTCAAATAGCCAATTATTACCTTCCAGTGGTTTTCCCACCACTAGAAATAAAAAGAGACCAGTGAAACCGCCTCATCTGTTTCATATTTAGATATTTGCATAGAGATTCAGAGTGGCAAAACAAGCTTTCCACAAGACTGTATGACAGGGAGGATGGCCAATGGCTAACTTTCCCTTGCCGTAAAAGGCGACTATGCTTGTCGTAAAAGGCGACTAACGGGATCAGGTGGTCAGGCTCGTTGACTTGGTTGATGCATGTCATCGATCCCAAATACGTGTATCGATGCTCATGATATCAATAACTGGATTGTCTGGTCCAGACTTGACTATTTACAGACCGCCGTCATATAGCTGGAATATTGCTGAGTGCGGCGTTAAACAACAAACCAACCAACCAACCCTTTAAGTTCCAGCCTTTGGTGTCTACAAGTTACAACTTTTGAGGTAACATTGAACAAATTTTTCTTACGAAGATTTTAAAGACTTGTTCAAAGGTTATTTGATCAACAACATGAAAGGCCTCGGTAAAGCTTTCAAAACGTTTTATTGGAGACACATGGAGGACATTTCCAAATTTGACGCATCAGTAAAAAAATGATATCAAAGGCCATTCCCTATTTTTAGGTGACCAATTGACTTTCCTTTGCATGTGCTTTGTGACAGGTGCCATCAGTGTGGCGGGATACGCTTACTTTCTGCGAACACCTGGCATCATCACTTTTTAATAATAATTAATAAACCCATGCTTTATGATATAGTCGGAATCGTAAATGTACTCATATCATGGTCTCATTCTTATGATTAGAGAAATGTTTTTGTCGCATTTATTTATTTTGAAAAATATTTTTTTTGTCTATCAATGAAGGCTGTGGACATTGAATATAACGGAAACGACCTTGAGGCCATAATATCGCTGTCACCATTTTATGACATTAGCCACACATCGGGAGACCAGCCACAAGAAGACATCACCGTGACTCTACCTCTTCCGGAAAAGTATACTGGTGAAGGGCAATTACTCGTTTTGTCCAGACCTGGACAAGATGAAAGTGAAGAAGTTTGTGAGGAAGAAGAAGCAACAAGTTGGACAATCCTTGATACAGTGATATCAGTCAATGACAACGTTGCAACATTCTCCACACACCATTTTTACCAGTGATGACAATAACTCTTATTCTGTCTTTTATAATTTAAACATACAAGGAGATAATGTGATGGTTATGGCCGAAATTTGGTCCTGTTTTACAAAGGAGAGATATTTCGCTAATTTCGTATTATTGATGTATTCGAACCATATTAATGAAAGCTATTTTAAGCATATTGTAAAGGCTATGTAAGCAGGGTGTTTACAACAAATTATTATAGTAAATTGTTTGAAGGTTTCTTTAATGTAGTCTTTGTTTGTAGGAATGTACTTGGTGAATACAGAAAGAATGCGCCAAGACAAAGTGTGAAGAAGCAAACTAGACTACATCGCGGAAGGGGAGTTAAATATGCTGTATTATTTGCTGCATGGGGCAAGAGGCTTGAATCATCAGCTCATGATGTAGTCGTTGCATGCTGCCACAGAAAAGACTTCAAGAAAAGATCGGACACCTGGCTGAATAAGGGTTACTCCTGTCTCAGAGTCAGTAGTGAGTTCCGTGCCACGGCGAATAGTACATACCATATCGGTATCTGTGGCAATGCACAGTCATTATATGACATTTCAGAGCTAAAACTCATCTATCAACCTGGCATGGCTCCTTTTCAATCAATGCATCTTGAAATCTTGAATAAAAAGTACTCCCCCCTTGCAGCTATAGCCATCATGGACGGAAAGGGAAATATGAAAACGTATCTTCCTTTTGAACTAGATGAGGAGGTCTATTCTGAGAATAGCAGGACTGTTGTACAGAAAACTGCTTTGGATACGACTGCATCCAACGGACATGGCTATGAGGATGTGGAAGGCAAGTACATTTGACGGTCTGGGTAGTTTGTAATTCTAACCCTTGACTAAAGATTTTTAATCTTAAAAGTTTTGTGCATGACGTTTCTCGTATGAGATATGGTGAAAGGGTTAAACGTGCATCCAGTCCGATACTTAAGGAAGGGCCATTTGATAATATTAGGTGGAAGAGGGGACTCTGCGATTTAAAACAGTAATTTTCTCCAAATAATTTCGCCTCAAGTTTTACAAATATAACCACTAGCATCATGTCCTTAGAAATGCGTTGTTATCACAGTCACATTTTGTCATATCTGGACCTTACTTTGAAACGCATCAACTCGCGGCTGATACTTTGAAATCATCGTGTTCTAAATCCACGTTGAAAACGTATTCGAGTTGGGTGATATATTAGTTGGCTGGAAAGCATTCTATTACTTTATGTAAGTATAATTTAATTATTGATTATGAAATGGTCAATTAACAGATTTTATCAGAGATACGCTGATGGACACTCTACTGAATGAAATATTTGAGTCGTGGTGGAAGGTGTGGATATACGCTGGTGTCCCGCTTGCAAAGCTGATGGATTTTGTAGCCAATCCACAGTTTAGTTCTCTCTCCAGAAGCAAACAGGTTTGCATTCCTTTTTGTACTGAAGGCTTCCAACTTACAATAGCCCGTTGTGTCATTTTAGTGATTGATACTGGACTAAGTCAAGCGACTCCATGACTGTGCTGGTGTACTATCTTCACATTTTGTCTGTTTGCCACTCTTATCATTAAATCATTGTTGGTTGAACTCAGACCAAACTCTTTTCTTAAACATACGTGTCATAATTTTTACTTTCTCGTCAGATGTGGACAGTTCCTAAAGAAACCATTGTTGTTGAAATATAAAATAGAATCATGGGTATTTGTAACTCCCTGTTGATTTAAAAAAGTACCATGTTATTTTTTTTTGCTCTCAGATGTTCCACGACTGGCTCTTAGGTCACGCTGGGAAAAATGACTATGGACTGACAGATCTTATCAAGGCACTGATAAGGGCTGAATGCAAATCTGCGGCCCAGTTCGTCGTGAATCATCTGCAGAAATGGTGACTCATTTTACATTTCAACATGCACACTAAGTTACAATGAAATTTCTCATCTAATCAGGGTGATAAATAATCTTTGGTTTGGTTCGGCTAAACATCCTGTTTTAGTTTTTAATAACTATACGTGTATTCTTACCAAATGAGAAAAAGCCGAGGTTTTTGTCATTTTTTGCAAAGTATATTGCAAAGTATTAAATTCCCCATGGAACTGCTTGATCATTGTAGTTTTACATTTACCTCTTACCAGTGTCTTGAATACCATAGAAACATGAAAAGGGAAATTGCCGTAATGTGTCATCTTTACGATGTATTGAGACGGGGTGTTCAGTATTTTTCTTCACAAATCATGGCGGACAGTGGTGTGTTAATGCCAAAATATACTCTTAACAAAAGTAGGGAATCATGAACTATAATGGTAATACCAAGTATAAGAAGATGAGTAAGAAGATGAGGTTTGGGTGCGTGAACAACCCATGCTTGTCGTAAGAGGCGACGAACGGGATCGAGTGGTCAGACTCGCTGACTTGGTTGATGCATGGCACCGTATCCCAATTGCGTAGATCGATGCTCATGGCGTCAATCACTTTATGATACAATATGTGAAGCCCATTTCTGGTGTCCCCCGCCGTGATATTGCTGGAATATTGCTAAAAGCGGCGAAACTCCATACTCACTCACTCACTCACTCACTCACACCCCGATGCGGTAGCACCACACACGTGCGTAGGGTGGATTAATCTCTGAAAACTATAATGCTTGCTTATCATAAAGTTGTGATTTACTTCATTCCATTCGTTGATTGTGTATGAAACGGGCAATTGCGGAAATCAGCTTGAGTGGCCAATACGTTCAATGTTTCACACTCTGGTATTAGAAGACTATGGAACAGGGACTAAGGAACCCAAATTGTTGACGATCGAGGTTCCAGGTCAACGACAAGAGTACAGGAACGATTGACCCGAAACCAGGCTCTACGAAATAGAGCTCCAACGGCGAATCAAATTGCTGCAAACTTTCATCAGGCTACTGGAGTACGAGTAACGGATCAGACATTCAGAAACCATATACAAACAGCCCATCTCCATGCTCGACGGCCACGTGCTATGCCTCCCCTTACAATTGTCATATTGCCAACACACGACAATACTGTACGACAGTGTATTTGATCGAAACTTTGCAAAGCTATCAGGCACATACTGAAGTGGTGCCTTTTGATATTTTGGTATTTTTTTAATTTATATTTTTTTAAATTTTTATGGAATGAAGTTGGACATAGACTCAATTGGGGATGGGGTTCGTTTCCGGGGCAGGATTCGAAAACCAATCAGTGTATTTGATCGAAACTTGGCAAAGCTATCAGGCACATACTGAAGTGGTGCCTTTTGATATTTTTTTCTTTTTACGAATTTTTATTTTTTACAATTTTTATGGAAAGAAGTTGGACCTAGACTCCATTGGGGAACAGGTTCGTTTCCGGGCCAGAATTCGAAAACCATTCAGTGGGTAAACAATGTATGCTACTTCAACTGTATTCAACTGTTCTTGTAATGCCACCTCACACCATTACATAGAGAATTGCACATTTACTAGTGGTTACTTTACAGACAGCTGCCGGGGGGATATGTCATCTTTCTGATGACTCTTGTTTATCCTACTTTTGTTTTAAGAGTGTATATATGTGTGTGTTTCATGTTGGAAAAAGATTAATGTAATTAATGCATCTGTTGCTTTTGGGGTAAAAATACCCAAATATTAAGTGCTCGATTTTTCTTACATTTTGATGGTTCTTGACATGCATAAAAAAGAAATGATCAAGAAAATAATAAAAATTAGTATACGTGTAAATTATAGATATTGAGTTACTTGTGATATTATGTTGATACGTAATCATATAAAATGCCGTGGATGAGAAAGTATACCACCATGTTTAATGGTGGCTAAAATGAAACAAACAAGAAATGAGTATTTGACGGTGGTGTATTTGGCTCGGGAATCACAGTTATGTTTGGACCTTACCTTATTATAAATAAGTTTGCAGTGTGTATGCGGCTGTTTTCAGCCAAGTAACGTTCTGTTAACGTTTGTGGTTAACTCCAATATTAAAATGTATGCTATTTTTACCCGGGAGCTGATGTTTTGATTTCCGTGGAATCAAGTATAGGATAACGCCTTGTGTGATCTGAACAAACTTTGTTTAAATGAATAGTTATGGTTGGAGAAGACGTTTCAATATATCCAATATTACTATTATGTATCGATATCATTCCTCAAACCATTTAATGCCAGTGCATGTCATATACAAATATTCAGTCTAGAAGTGTGGGAATGGTGTTTTTATTAAGGGTTGAGGATGAAAACAGAAATAAAATCTGACATCCTTCTGTCACAGCTTGAACTCCGGGGCCTTTAGGAATAAGCCGTTTGGTCAATGGCTAGAGGCGCAGAATTTGAAGTTAGAGCACATTGGCAGCGTCAATGGTAATATATACATATTTTTTTCTTATATGTTTGAATTCAAGGCCTGAAAACGTCCGACTTGTACCCAATACTTGTTGTAAGAGCAGTCGTATTCGAGGATCAGATGCTCATAATATGTATCTCGTTTGACTTTGTGTTATTGCTGATGCCATCAACAACTAGTCTGTCTGGCCCTGACTCGATTACTTCAGGCCACCATGACATAACTGGAATATTGCTGACTGCGGCGTAAACCAGCAAACACTCTCACTGTACACCTATACCGCTACAATACTTGCTTGTTTGCTGTTTAACGCCGCACTTTGTAATATTCCAGCAATATGACGAACGTCTGTAAATAATCGAGTCTGGACCCAAACATCATGAGCATCGATCTACGCAAATGGGAAACGATGACATGTATCAACCAACTCAGCGAGCCTGACGATCCGATTCCTTTAGTCGCCTCTTAAAAGCAAGGGTTGCTGGAGACCGATTCTAACCCGGATCTTCACGGGTGTACAAAACCAGTATTGATATTGGATTGCTTAATGCAAATCTAGCTGCATCTTCATAATGTCTGATAAACAACTTACATGCTGTCGTCCTTGGCTGTCGCTTATAAGTGGTGCATCAAGTATGCACACGTTTCGCATAATCCTCCTGGCATCCCTAGAACTTTAAAATATATTTTTAAATATGTTAGTTAGTTACTCCCCCAAACCCTTAAGGTCACTGGATTGTCTGGTCCACACTCGATTATTTAGAGACCGCCGTCATATAGCTGGAATATTGCCGAGTGCGGCGTTAAACAACAAACAGACAAAACATATTAGATCCACTTGTATTTTTGTTAGGGTTATTTGTTATTGCTTGGGTTGACCCACGTCAGTAATAGATGCTACTTTGCAAAGGTCCGCCAAGGAGAGTACGGTGGTCAGGCTTGCTGACTTGGTTGATGCATGTCATCGATCCCAATTGCGTGGACCGATGTACAAGATATCAATCACTGGATTGTTTGGTCCAGACTCGATTATTTACAGAACGTCGTCAAATAGCTGGAATATTGCTGAGTGCGGCGTAAAACAACAAACCAACCAACCAACAAACCAACAAGAGCTTACTCAAAACGTTCGCTCACTTGCCAATGCTACAATGTCTGATGTTTCAGACGCATGTTCGTAGCTATGAATGATTATGTGTGCAATGTAGCAGTTGCTGAGAAGATTGATGGAATTCATGTGACTTTCCGTTGTCTTAATGCTAAAATATGTGACTGTAAACCAGTTTTAACCCCCTCTCACAATGTATACATAGATGCAGCAGAGCCAATGTCAGATGTGTTTCTTATCGACATTCTCCAATATTTTGGCGTTGATTGCGTGTTCCTTGGCATTGCATGCGGCCTCACAAAACAAGAACGTCGTGACTTGTCGGAACCACATCCTTGTGGTCCGCAGCTCCAGCTGTTTACCGTACGTGTACTTGATAAAAAATACTAACCTGTTTCAGTAAACACAGTGTGTGAATGGTTAGGAAAAGGGGAGACTATTCACGTTTTGTCTGTTATATTGCAGGGAAATAGACAAATAGTATCAATAATTATTTCTCCAAATATGTTATATCCAGCTGATTAATGCAGTCTATAGTTTATAATAAAGGATAAGAAGTTGAGTCGGTGTATCCGCCTTTTTATACAATTGGTTTGTAGATTGTTTACGACCATTGGTAACGTGTTAATAGTCTATTGTCGCCCCCTTACACGATTCCAAAATCATAAACCCGAGCTTAATTCAACCCTTCATCTTCTATTGTTTTGGGGCGGTCGGGTAGCCTTGTGGTTAAAGCGTTCGCTCTTCACGCCGAAGACCCGGGTTCGATTCCCGACATGGCCACAATGTGTGAAGCCCATTTCTGGTGCCCCCCGCCGTTATATTGCTGGAATATTGCTAAAAGCGGCGTAAAACCATACTCACTCACTCCTATTGTTTTAATACGGCTTTACAATCTTCCGATGACCTAGGTTATTCGATGTGTTTAATCAGCGTCTAGACACAGTTCGTTACAAACATCAGACTAATAAACATCATACTCATTACCTCCTCTCACAGTTGGTCACGTTACCATATCCACATAAACATATTCACAATGTTGGTTCTGTCAGTCGCTCAAGCAATAATATTATAACTTCCCCTCAAGCGAAACGATAACATTCTCTTTAAAGACTTCAACACCCGAATGATAGGTATGTAATGTGCACAAGACAATACTGTAATAGGTATAATAGTATTATATGTTGTCATTACAAAGGAATATTTATACATTTCTTCCCCTCTAATTTCAAGTATTTTCAGGATACAAATCCCTAAAACAAGCGATTCATTTGGGATGGCCTTGTAAAGATTTGTTTTGTATTTCATTATGCAAGTACATATTCCTGTTATATTCTGACCTTATGATTGCGAGATGCGATCTGTCTTTGCAGCTGCTTTGTAAAGTCCGACAGAAAGAACGGTTTTCCCACGAGGGCCTTTGCGTCTTGTTAAAAGCACTTCAACAATTGGATCTGAACGAAACCAAGGAATCGATAATTCTCCTGACAAAGAAATGGTACGAGATAGATAGATAAAATGTCATTTAATTTGTATTACTCGTTCTTAATTATTTTCGTATTTGGGTCAAGTACATGTTTGACCAATATTGTCAGGGTTAAATTATAGAATATGCATGTAATTTGAGGACGTCAAGTTCGTTATTTCTATGTGTGTCTGTGTTAACTTTATTGAATACAGCTGATCAGATTTAAGACGAATCGACGTAGTTGTAGTTCCTTATTTTCCCAAAGTAAATATGGCAAAATGTTGATATATATTTTGTTTTACCGAAGGTTGGACACTAAAGGAGAAAGCAAGCAAAAGGATGCAAAATCGTTTCTGGATGTTATTAAACAGTTCACTGAGACGTCATCTTTGGATTGATATGCTACAAGAGGTTGTCTCATCACAGCGAAGAACTAACAATAGAGATGCTTCATCCAAGTGTTTCTGTATCACCTCCTCCGTACAAAATGCACCTGGGGACCTTCATTTGTCATCATGGACCAAGTGCGATAGTTTTGCGAACCTGGTGTCATCACTATTTCACAGTGATTCATAAACACAAGTTTATGATACAGTCAGATCCGCTCTATTTATAGTGAACGATATTTAAAAAACAAGCAAACATGCTTTCCCTGTTCGCGAATCTTTAATGATGCATTCATAAAACTTTCATAAAACTAATTTGCCTTTCACTTCCAATGGAATCTGTCTCAGATAATCGAGACTGACTATTCTTTGGCGTTGACCTTGTATATGTGTACAGGAGCTTCCTATACATTGTTTTTGTAAAAAAAAACCTCAGTGATATCAACCTGCGAATCGGCTTTACCTAAATATAAGTACTTATGTTCAACAAGTAAAATGTCAATGTGTTGAAAATTATAAATGTCAACGACGGCACAAGACTGTGATTAATGGAGTGTTCTAAAATGTTATCTTTTGCCACGGAAGGAAGTTGTAGTTAACTATAGTTAACACGTAGCATGTCTGAAACTGAGGGACGCGCCCCCTGTATCCCCCTTGAATCTGCCATTGGGTGGAAACCATTCACCATAGGGGCGGTCGGGTAGCCCAGTGGTTAAAGCGTTCGCTCGTCACGCCGAAGACCCGGGTTCGATTCCCGACATTGGTACAATGTGTGAAGACCATTTCTGGTGTCCCCCGCCGTGATATTGCTGGAATATTGCTAAAAGCGGCGTAAAACCATACTCACTCACTCACCCCATTAACCATATGTATTCACATAGTATTGAATAATGTGTACATGAGGTATACAGAGTTTTGCTGGCTGGCCCTATATTCCGTGTTATAACTGCGGTGTTGCCAACTTGACATGAGCCACACCGGTAGCAGAGGCACCGCAAGTCCCAGCGTGGTTGCCTGATATAAGACGCTGGTGAACTTTAGCCCGACTCGTGTATTGTGTCGTTTTTTAATACTGAACTTTACTGATTTCATGGTTGTTTTAAATCCTAATATGTGATATGTTACTAGTTATTTTACTTTTACTTGGTTCTTATCATATAAGTTGATTAAACATTATTGTATCACTCGTCACTTTTTTGCTGATCAAATGCGATGTGACTACATTTTGACTTACTCAGCTGCCTGATATGTTTCATTGAAAATTTCAGTGTACAAGGAGGTTTATTTTTTTATAGGTTTGTTTGATTGGTTGAATTTAAGAAATGTTGATGTAGCCCCAAAAAGGCGAATGATTCGATTGGAAAGTGCATGTTTACTCTTGTAGGAGAACATACGTGGACGTGCAGGGTAATATTCAATTTCTTGTTGCTTTTTTTCAAGACGTACAATTTGTAAATCACGGTATTAGCCCCCATGTAGGATAAGGTTCAGTGATCCCGAGTTAGGCTTTATTTTGCATCTACAATTAAGTTTCATTTTCCACAGTGGTGATCATCATGCTCATCAACCCGGACGGGTACACGGCGAGCCTCGGCTCCCTGTCCGGTGACCCTCTGTTCCCTGTGTGGTGACTCTCTGCTCCCTGTGTGGTGACTCTCTGCTCCCTGACCGGCGACTCTCTGCTCCCTGTCCGGAGACCCTCTGCTCCCTGACCGACGACCCACTGCTCCCTGATCGGCGACTCTCTGCTCCCTGACCGGCGACTCTCTGCTCCTTGTCTGGTGACTCTCTCCTCCCTGACCGGCGACTCTCTACTCCCTGTCCGGTGACTCTCTGCTTCCTGTCATGTGACTCTGCTCCCTGTCCGGTGACCCTCTGCTCCCTGTCCGGTGACTCTGCTCCCTGTCCGGCGACACTCTGCTCCCTGTCCGGCGACCCTCTGCTCCCTGTCCGGTGACTCTGCTCCCTGTCCGGTGACTCTGCTCCCTGTCCGGCGACACTCTGCTCCCTGTCCGGCGACCATCTCCTCCCTGACCGGCGACTCTCTACTCCCTGTCCGGTGACTCTCTGCTTCCTGACCGGCGACTCTCTGCTCCCTGTCATGTGACTCTGCTCCCTGTCCGGTGACCCTCTGCTCCCTGTCCGGCGACTCTCTGCTCCCTGTCCGGCGACCCTCTGCTCCCTGACCGACGACCCACTGCTCCCTGATCGGCGACTCTCTGCTCCCTGACCGGCGACTCTCTGCTCCTTGTCTGGTGACTCTCTCCTCCCTGACCGGCGACTCTCTACTCCCTGTCCGGTGACTCTCTGCTTCCTGTCATGTGACTCTGCTCCCTGTCCGGTGACCCTCTGCTCCCTGTCCGGTGACTCTGCTCCCTGTCCGGCGACACTCTGCTCCCTGTCCGGCGACCCTCTGCTCCCTGTCCGGTGACTCTGCTCCCTGTCCGGTGACTCTGCTCCCTGTCCGGCGACACTCTGCTCCCTGTCCGGCGACCATCTCCTCCCTGACCGGCGACTCTCTACTCCCTGTCCGGTGACTCTCTGCTTCCTGACCGGCGACTCTCTGCTCCCTGTCATGTGACTCTGCTCCCTGTCCGGTGACCCTCTGCTCCCTGTCCGGCGACTCTCTGCTCCCTGTGTGGTGACTCTCTGCTCCCTGTCCGGTGACTCTGCTCCCTGTCCGGCGACCCTCTGCTCCCTGTCGGGTGACTCTGCTCCCTGTCCGGTGACTCTGCTCCCTGTCCGGGGACCCTCTGCTCCCTGTCCGGTGACTCTCTGCTCATTGTCCGGTGACTCTGCTCCCTGTCCGGTGACTCTCTGCTCCCTGTCCGGTGACTCTGCTCCCTGTCCGGTGACTCTCTGCTCCTTGTCCGGTGACTCTGCTCCCTGTCCGGTGACTCTGCTCCCTGTCCGGCGACCCTCTGCTCCCTGTCCGGTGACTCTGCTCCCTGTCCGGCGACCCTCTGCTCCCTGTCCGGTGACTCTGCTCCCTGTCCGGTGGCTCTGCTCCCTGTCCGGTGACTCTGCTCCCTGTCCGGGGACCCTCTGCTCCCTGTCCGGTGACTCTCTGCTCCTTGTCCGGTGACTCTGCTCCCTGCTAAAAGCGGCGTAAAACCATACTCACTCACTCACTCAAAGGAAGGGGCGAGCTCACCACACCCCTTTCCAAACTTGCGGAAGGTATCCGGTATACTGCAATCTAGATTGGATCTCTGCTTTGCTCATAACATCAAAATTTGATTTTTTAATTGTTCCACGTGACAGACATATTTCACTGAGTTTAACCGTATTTGCACCATCCCTGCAAATAGTATGGTGACGTGGCTTGTGACTAGTGAACAGTGATCGTGTCTATATTATTACTTCTTGTCACCGCCGCACATTATCCATAATTTCATGTTTCTTGTCCCGTGTAAAGTATTGTGCTTGGGCCCTGTGTTGCTGAACATGTATTATTAGCAGATGAAGTCCTGGAACATAAACGTGGAATGCTGTGGCAGTTCACCGGCCTAATGAAGCTGAACAATAAATACTTACATATATACATGACTCCATGTTCAAGCTGGGACTCCGGGGTAGCGTGGTCCCCAGTGACCAATGCCTGCTGTAAGAGCCGACTAGCATGGATCTGGTAGTCAGGCCCGGCGACATGGTCGATAGTGTGTCATCGTGCTCCATTCACGTGGAACCGCCTCCGTAGTCTAGTGGTAGAGCGTCCGCCCGGAGAGCGGAATGTCCGGGGTTCGATCCCCGGCCGCGTCATACCAAAAGACGTTAAAAGATGTACTCGTTGTTACCCTGTCTGGCGCTCGGCATTAAGGGGCTAAAACAAGGACTGATCGGCTCGGAGTCAGTACACTGTGTCTGAGTGGGGTATTCATGTTAAACAGCGGCATGGTATCTCAATGAGCTAGCACTATAAATCGGCATCAGTCCGGACTGGTACAAGCAGCCACACACACACACGTGCATGCACGTCGCTATATAAGTGCAATAGTCTTGGACGCGACGTTAAACCCCATTTCACCTCACATCACCATTCACGTGGGTCGTTGCGCATAATAGCAACCACTGATTTGGCTGGCCCAGATGAGTGACGTGCCACAAGCGGGTGCACAGCACTACGAGACAAATGGTTGTGGAATCTCCTACACCCCGCTAGTGACACGTGTGATGAATTTATCCTTACGCGGTCACACTTACACGACTTATTTTTGGTGAAATATTTTATCTTACACTTATGACCGCCATTCGATTATTAGCATACAAACTCGAAGTGAGAACAGGGTCCACTGTCACGTGTCACTTAACACACGATTACGTCTTTGTATCCGTTCTGACCGGTAAACAAAAGTAAAATTGTAATTATATTCCTGAGCTGCCGTAAAATAGCTGGACTTTTTCTGAGTGGGTGTAACTTAGCAACATCTCCATATGCTTAATTGCATCATCTTAGCCGCAGGGTGATATATGTTCTATTTCACAATACGAACAACTAAAGTCTAACAATGCAGGGATTGCAGTAACTGATGAGACGTAGATCGAGTGCGAAATGAAAGAAGCTCTCATAAAATATACAAAACACACAGTACAAAAGCCTTCCGTACATAAACAGCATTGTTAAGCACAGCAAGGCGTTAATGAATTATTGAGTGATGTAAGACGTTTTGAACAGGACATTAGTAATACCACGGCTTGTCAGCTGGTCGGTTTTCTTGTTTGTTTGTTGTTTAACGCCGCACTCAGCTATATTCCAGCTATGAGACGGTGGCCTCTAAATAATCGAGTCTGAACCAGACAATTCAGTGATTGGCAGAATGAGCATCGATCCACGCAATCGGAATACGCTGACATGCATCAACCAAGTCAGCGAGCCTGACCACCCGATCCCGTTAGTCGCCTCTTACGACAAGCATAGTCACCTTTTACGGCAAGCATGGGTTGCTGTTCTAACCCGCATCTTCACGGGTCGTCAGCTGGTAGGGACACGGAAGCTCGAGGTGATGCAGGTCTTGGACAATGATGCAGGTCTTAGACATTTACCAATTTGGTGAATCTCACGACCCAACAATCATAATCACTTGAAGGCTGGACCATACATGTCTGACACGCGTCTCTGCACAGTGAATTTCGGCGACTTCAACGCGCGTTTACCATCATCCGGAAAATGTCGACACGATAGGTGTTGTTGTTGTATGTTGTTGTTTTTATTTTGAAGAGACTCGAGATACTGAATTTATACATTTCTCTCGGGTTTTTTCCACAGGATGTGTGGATAATCAATAATGACTGAAGATCCCTACACTTATAGTTGCACCGAAGGGGATGTTTATTGATAATGATATGTAATACTAAAAATAACTTTTTTTTACCACAAATCACGACAATATGTACCATAACTCAATGTTAATTGGCACTTTGCGTATCTTTCCTCGATTGATATAAGTGTGATATTATCTGTTGTCTTCAGATGTGAGTAAACGCCCCTTTCTGAGTTCTAATCAACAGGCTGCCTCACTGTGGTTGTGTTGCAGAATTTACCATCACGAGGATTACAAAAGACGGTTATCGTTTTCATCACTGACATATCGAATGGCGGATTTTGTGAAAGGACCTGTGAAATATAGCACACATTATTGATATATCGTATTACATACTAGTATATACAAGCCTTCTGTCAGGGTTAATACTATTTGTAGTAATATAATTCAATCATATATTTGTTATTGTTTACCAACTCATTCTTTTGTATACATATCTGTGCATGGTACAACGTAAATAATATATATAAATAAATAAATTACATATCTTGTTTTTAAGAGAAACCTTTTATCACGTAATGGAAATAAGTTCACGATTCGTTCTGTTTTTTTCTTAATAGACTAATATTATCTGACAGTGTCAGCTTAACAACTGAATTAAATATTTATTTTGGAATAGCCAACTTCATCGTGGTCCAAGGAAGGCAGTAAACGGAAGAAGCTCTTTTAACGAGAGCACGTATCTATCGAGCACCTGCTCGTGGAGTAAAAGCGGTCACACCTATCTCTGACATATATCCATATCGCGCATGCAGGCTGAACTACGAGCTTACCATTTTAACAATATGCCAACGGCATGATCAGAGGAAGCATAGAAGACTGGTAATAAAATCCATGTTTAACACACGAGTGGGCTTCAATCATCCGTAGCAGGTTGAATGGTAATTGTATTCATCGATGCTATAATTGCTTCCAATTTCCATATGCAGAGCCGATCCTACCGTGGAATGTAATACACGGTGCTAGTTTCCTGCGTGATATTGAAATCAACTGTGATCGATCACTGTCCGAAGGGTCGGATATTGTTTGGTTTGGGCAGTTAACAGCATTTTGCTGTTATAAACTCCTTTCCGTTCGCAAAACGAATAACTTCATGACTTGCCACAAGAAAACATACCTTTAAAGCGCCGGGGAATATTTATGAGCGCCGAAACCGGTTCATGGCTAGGGCAGCACTAAAACGTACAATATGTTCATTTTCTCGTTATTATTTCAACAGAGCTATAAACGCATAGCTTAATGGGAAATCATTTCTCGCTGGTGAATAGTCGTTGCCTTGTGGCTACTGTTGGAAGGCATTGTACTTCCTCAGACGCATGGTTTGGTAATAAAATGTTTTGTTATGGTATTAGAACTTCAAAGAGGTGTGATGGTATTGGATGTATGTGGTCAGGGGCAATGATATATTCCCTGGCATATTCCGCATTCCTGCCTATTTCACGTCTAATTGACATCGAGAAACAGTATGCGCATGCCTGTACATGTGTGTTGTTATTGCTCCGGAGGCAACTGAAGGGTATCGTTGCCCAGTCGTCTGAGGTCCCGCAATTCGCTGTGTAGAGTTGCGTCCCTTAGGAGTGCAAGAATCCTATGTTCATGGGACCGATTCCGGGTTTCCCAGATTATGTTTGTCAGCTATATCCTTGCTCGTGGCTTTGTCTCATGACCTGCATGACTTTGGGCTTTTCTCCCACATCACGTCAACAAGCTGTGATAAAAATAAATACTGTTCAAAGTCGCGTTAAACCCAACTCATTCACTCTCTCACACCCGGGCGACTGCGCTGGATTTAGTTTACCATGTTTTTTTTAATTCATTTTCTCCTAATTGCTTTCAGTAAAGAACAACTTTTTGACCATAATGCAAAAAGCTGTAAAATATGCTACACTGCTTGGTAAAAAGAAGTATACACCTACGGCTAAAAATGAAACAAAGAAAGAAAGAGAGTTTTGATACAGGAAACATAGTCGTGTTTCGGCGATTGTTTTCAGCCTTGTACCGTTTTGATAACGTTTGTAATTTTTTTGGTCAGATCCAAGTTTCAAGTGTATACTTTCTTTTGTCCGGCAGTGTACGTTACATAACCGTTTGGAATTCCAGGTTAGACACACACCGCTGTATGTACGTCGCTATAGGTGTGAAATCATCCTGAACGCTACGTTAAGCCCCACGTCACCTCGCCCACCTCTCCCCGGATGAGAATAGGTCGTGTGGTCAAGCTCGATGACATGGATGAGGTCGTTGAACGTTGTTCATTATATCAATCACAGGTCAATTATACAGGCCGCCTTCCTTTAGTTGTAATATTGAGTGCGTTGTCACCCCTAAAAAACAAAGCAAAACAAATAAAAAACCAACCCAAAACAACAACAACAAACAGACTAACAACAAACAGACAAAGCATTACCAACATTTACATTATGTTATCAGCGTCACAATACACATCTGATCATTCTCAAGCAAGGCATGTGGCCTTTTGCCGTTTATCACACTTCACCATGAGTATCCGCTCAAAGGTGATTTCACTGTCATCAGAAATGCTGTGCGTACATTCACCTAACATCTGTGTATTCAACACAGGTCGTAGTTGTCTACTGCAAATGATAAACTGCTTGTTTGATAAATGACCAAAGCAATCGTTTTACGCCAAACCCGGCTGCATTTACTCAGAGCAAAAGGTCGCCTCGTGAGTGCGCGATTAATGTAGAATGCACAGGGAAGAACAAGATCTCGAACCAGACGTTGAGTAACGCAAGCGTCGCCAGTAGACCCTTGCACGGCCGTCAGAGATGTCCAGATGGACCCTAGACTCATCTCTGAACAGTAGACAGTCCCAGTCCCAGATACGGGGTCGGATGTTGTGCTCCCTCAACCGGTTGCGTGCGGTTCTGCCACAAAATTGATCTCAGCCCAGGAATTGTCCGAGCTGTAAATGTGGCAGTTTGCTATCGATTCGATGCACCAACCGAATATAGTTGTCTTCTTAATATGACGTAACACGTGGACGACAGGCCCATGGCAAGCCACGAGTGTTGCCCTGCTGTAAATAACGTCTCAAAAAGAGATGATATTGTGTTTCGATGAACATTTAAATGGCTGTTTGCAGCATACTCACGGCGCGTGACGTTGATTTTCAGCAAGCCATGGTATTTTTGCCTTAAGTGTTATTTAAGGTTAAACAAAAGTGTTTATATGAACACCTGATAGCTAAAGAATCATAATGTTCACATTCATAAACAACGTGTGTGGTCATCAAGCTCTCGGGGCGGTCGGGGAGCCTAGTGGTTAAAGCGTTCGCTCGTCCCGCCGAAGACCCGGGTTCGATTCCCG